CTGTTTCCGTTTGTTCAATATATCTAAGTTGTGTTTGGTCATTAATAAAACATGTAGGTAGTGTTTCTTATGATAGAAAAGGCATTAGCATGGAGTTTGCTTTTGCCTTTTCTATCATAAGAAACACTTTGGATATTCGAAAAATTCATAGACTGAAACCGAAACACAACTAAATGGCTTTTCATCTGTGAACGGTGGTTTGTGGCAGACGGGATTTTATTGTCCAATATGTACCAGAAAACTTAAAAGTGATTAAAACCAGGATTATATTAGCTTAAATTAGCGATATATTGCTACCTCAACATTTAAATAAGACACTTTAACGGTTTAAAACTCGATGTATATTAGTTAAACTTATTTGGAAGTTATTTTCACTACGGCCCAACGTTTCGGATGTTTTGCAGCAGCCGTCGTCACAGGGAGACTGTCGACACGAAACTTTGGAAAAGTGTAAATAATTTCTAAATAAGTTTCAATAATACACATTGCGTTTTAAACCGTTAAAGTGTTTTATTTAAATGTGCACTACTTAAACTAAGGACAGAGTATTTTCTGACTCAACATTTAGATTTACGTTTTATAGAACAGCTAATTTACTTTTAAATCATGTTAACAAACAATATTTATATAAAAATAAATGATTTTTGAAATCGTATAGAAAACAAAAAAAATATTTTAACACGTTTATTAGTCGGTAACACGCAAACAGTAACGATTACAAACAGGAAAACATGTGGTTTGAGCTTTTGAGTAATGGTAGTGGTAGCCCGGATGACACGGGAGAGAATGAACGCAATTATGGAAACCGGCCACGGGAACCAGTAGCCGGCGTCTTCCCGCCACAAATAAGCACTTCAATGGACGGGAATAACTCGTATTCTGAAACAAACATTCTATTTTTAAACGACTCAGGTGAGCCGGGAAAACTTTTCAAACATTGATAAACATTAACTAAAACTAGTAGTCATTTAAATAAAACACTTTAACGGTTTGGAACGCGATAGGTATTAGTTAAACTTATTTGAAATTTGAAAAGCCACGGCGTTATACATTATACATACGCACATAGAATAATTTGTAAGTGAAGTAAACTAATACATTACTCAAACAGTTGAAATACCTCCTTTAAATTAAATAAATCTAGATTTATTTAATAATTCAATAACTGCAAATGTTGTTGTCAAGTATTTGAAAAGTCGGGTAATTCGACTGATATATTCGTTCGCGTTTAAAGCCGTTATATTTTGTTATTTGAAAGTGTACTACTCGCGTAAACTACAGACAATACCTAATCACATTTATATAGACAATGACGAAATCTATGTCTAGTTTTCTTCAGTTCGAAAACGAACTAGATTTATAGAATGTAATGATGGTTTAATGTTGTTGGAAAGAGCACAAAAGGTAATAAGTGATCAATTGTCTGTATCAAGATAAAAATGAAAACATCCGTTGCAAATTCTGTAGTGAATTTAATAAGCAGCGAATGTTTAAATATTTCTAAAACTCGCATTTACCATCGATTATAATTATGATGTTAAAAAACAGGTTATATATAAAGATATTTCTAAATGTCTCTAGATTTCTCAGCGGGATATAATCTATTTAATGTAACGACCCATTCATTAATATTTTATGAAAAATAATTCGACAGTAACAGGTGTCCATTCCATATCCTTCTAACTTATAAATAAGAGACGGTTCTTAAAACTAAACTCCACCATGCCGTTCCAAAGCTGCTTAACAGACGACTTACCATCAGGCGGATTTTGAAACCTCAAACTTCTATACTCGGACTGACACTCGCAATGTATTCAAAAGCTTTTACTCATAAAAGTATACAATGTCACAGATACAATTTCAACTATTATTATAATTTTGTCTAATACTGTCTGAATCTCTCTCTTCTAATCGACAGACTAAACATTAGACCAAGAAGACAGGCAGACCAATGACGTTAGATTTTTCAAATTAAATCTAATGAGTTCGCTTGCAAGATGTTTTGACATGGCTAGAGGCAGAGTAGCCTAACTGAAATTTTAAGTCTTGAGTTATTTATGTTTTCATGGCCGAAACTGTTAATCTACAAGAGCACAGTGATCGAAAATTATTAACATAACTCTTACACAAATAATAGAACAAATGAGTTTTCGCCAAAGTTGATTGGGCATTTTTTTTCCTCCATATTGAAAATCATATTTTTTGTTATTAGGCCACAGCAGCCTCAAATGTTGACGTTTCGTAACACATCCATTAAACAAATGCATACACTGCGTTTCTAGGAAATGCAACTAGAATCGGTGTAAGATATGACGGTTTCAAAAGTTCAGTGGCTCACTTATAATGTGAAAACTGCGGCTGTTTAGCGGTCGTGGCTTGTAATTGATCCAATGATATTGATTTCTCGCTATAAAACTTTACACCTACGCGTTATAAACGTAAAATTATCCTATATGCAACTCCACAATGAGTTATGTAAAATACTAGCCTGACGCCACAAACGTTCGTAATAAGTACACGTTTGAAAGAAGATAAATCAACAAAACCCAGTAGACACAAACGCGAGTAGTACATACATTTAAATGAAACACTTTTAACGGTTTTAAACGCGAAATATATTGATTATTTTTATAATACTTTGCATAGAAGGTGACTCTTAATGTAAAAGACAAAATGCTACTCTAGCGCCATCTAGCGTCGTAGTAGTTTTATTCAAATACCATTTATATATTATGTACATTTTTACGTAAAGCTAAAACACTTTTCGAGGCGTTGCCAAGATTTCGATGAATTAAATTTAAAATCAACTTTAAATAAACACTTATATTTTTATGTATTTATGTTTTAACTTTAACCAGGTAGACAGGCGTCCCCGATACAGAACAATATATTATAAATATTTCCGTCCAAGATAACCTCACCATAATGGTTTCTTCTTAGCCACATGAAAGGATAAGATCTTGGTACGGACTTCAAAGACTATATTGAGGGTAATTTACTAGGAAACTAGATAAATAATGAAAGTGTATTAGTCTGTGGGCGTTTTGATTGAAAGTTGAAACATTAAAACGGGAAATATTTAAAAATATCGTTAAGACAACTGTTAAATTCTATCTAGATTGGATTTACATGGAAGCTCAATTCAATGTATATCTTGTTTTAAACCGTTAAAGTGTTTTATGCAAATATGTACTCGCGTAAAAACAGACAGTATTTAACATCGAAAAGGTCATTGTCTTCTATGTTTAAAAATAATATTGTTTTTGAGAGTGTAAGTGAAATTCTTTCGTACAGTTGCAGAAAATAATGTCTTATTCTATTAGCAGTTCAGTGACTCGATTTAACTGATTTATGTGGTTACAAATAAATACATCCAGCATTACACCAAAACACCAAGGTATGCAACTCCGACGCAAACACTTCACGCGTTTTACGAGCGATATAATTTCTGGGATTCTTAAAATTGTGCGCCTAGCCAGGTCATGCGCAGCGAATATTTCGAGTTGCCTTTTTGCTCTATAATTAGTTCGCGAATGTTTCTGTGAGTTGTGCCAATTGTGAACAACGGTCGCCGGTGCAACATTCAATGCAACATTGTTTTTAAACGCGCAATTAACGATAATTCCTGACCTATTTCGCTGTCAAGCAGTAATCCGTTAATTTCACCATAAAAACTGGTCTTATATTTAATCTATCTAAAAAGGGTGGACTGTCAATTGTTCTAGATTATACTTCTTACAGCTGAAGAGTTTGTTTGTTAAAACTTTAATACGATTACGATGGCATTATATGAATTAAAATCGATTATAAATTGAATAAATTTACGACAGCGTTCAGTGCTGTTTGCTTTAAACAACGGTACACACGGTTGACACGGTAGCTCAATTGGCTAGAGCAACAGCACGCAACGCTGTGGGTGCCGGTTCAAATCCTGTTCGTGTCGTAAATTTTATACTATCTATAATCGATTTTTGATTCATCGACTAGATAAATGTATACATTCTAATACGCATTATACAATCTAGTGCACATAGGAACCGTTAGAAAAATTTAAATATTTTTTTATTCAGTATCGTATTAGACCTAAATAAGACCATTAAAATTATTCTGGCATGTCGAGTTCATAAATCTAGGCTCAAAGGTAGCCACTTGATCGCCGTCTAGACCCAGCTATCGGTCTATAAACCGCAACACGATACAATCAAGTGGAAAGGCGTCAGATATTTACAGAACTCGCTCGTTTGTCCGATTTCTACTCAGTTATTATGTTACATTAGGCGTCGTATTTCCTCGCTTGCCTGTCTATGATTTTTATCTGGCTTAAAATATTTGTTTGCGCAGCGGTTAGAGATAAGCTCGGTACAGCTAGCTTTCTGCCGGCGTACGCGCACGCTATGGTATGAGGAAAACCGCATCATAGAATGTGGAGATAGCGAGAGCGAAGATGTATTTATTTACTGTTAATATACTTAACAAGATTTTAGATCAATAGCTTTATAGACTTTATACCTATGATCGACCAAATCGGTTTTAAGGGGGACCCCCCCCAGCCTTCCTTCCACACTAAAGATACATTTCTATTTCCCATAACGAGTATTAACGAAATAGTTTCATTATTAGAAGCTGTGATATCATAAAAAAAACACATTTTAGTCGCAGTGTAGGAAGGTTGTATATGTTTAGTGGACTTCTAGTTTTAGCATCGTAACTTTTCGAGAGTTGAAAATAAGAAAACAAGTTTTGGATCTTTATTATTTTTTACATCTACAAAAAATTTTCGACTCTGGCAGGACTTGAACCGGCATCGTCGGTACCGTCGATAGCTCAATTGGTAGAGCAACAGCACGTAACGCTGACAATGCCGGTTCAAGTCCTGCCCGAGTCGAAATTTTTTTCAATTTATTTTCCAAATTTAAATTAAAGTTTTGGATACTATATTACCATACTGTTTTTAAACCCAATCTTCTAGAATTGCAGTGTAACGAGCATTCTTTTTACAGTGGGAAGCTGTGAAGGTGTTCGTTGTGGAGGAGATAAACGCTGCGTACTGGACGCCGAATTGGGCGCGCATTGCGTCCGTTGCGGTGCGTGTAACGTTGCGGGAGCACCCGTTTGCGCCGTGGACGGACGCACGTACGCCGGCGCATGCGCACTTAGAAAGGCTGCGTGTGAACGGGGAAAGGCGCTACCTCTCGCGTACAAGGGAGCATGTATAGGTGACTATCGGCTTTATATTGTAAATAGTATGATACTGGTTTACTGTAAGCGGTTAGAACTTTCTGTTAATAAAAAAACATAAACCGACTTTTCGTAATTATTTACATTACTATACTAATGTTTTAAAGCCGCAGTTTGTTTGTTTGAACACCAGTTGTTGAAAAACAGTTCAAAATGGGGTATCTTGAACTGTTAATATTTTAAGATTAACTTGCAAGAGAACAAGAAGAGTTCCTATTTTTTAATTCTAATGGTCTAATAATCGATTATGTGCATGTAATAATTTTTAATGTTTCAGCAAATGCAACGTGTGCATCGATTTGGTGCGGCGCAGGTCAGCGTTGCGTGCAAGGTGGGGCTAGCGGCGCACGCTGCGTGTCCTGCGGCGTTTGCGGCGGAGGCGCTAGAAGGACTCTTTGTGGGACCGATTCGAGGACTTACGGCTCTTGGTGTAGACTCCAGAGGGCCGCTTGTCATGCGGGCACTGTTGTGGACCCACTGCATCCGGGTCCTTGCAAAGGTATATAAATAATAGCTCAAATGTACGTCGATCAGTTTAAATTTTATCAACCAATGGGAATTGTTGGAAGGTTTCTTTGTTCACGATATATATATATACAGTTGGTTAGATCAACAGCATGAAACGCTCTGAATGCCGATTTAAGTCTTTTTTTTTAAGACTATTAGGCCCTAACAAATTAAATGCAGAAAGCAAGGAGTCCGGGTCTTATACGATATAGTTTTTCACATTTTCAACGTCTTGTTAAAATACACATAAGGAACATTTAACATATGCCTATGAAAAATTTGAAAAAGGACATTTGAACTAACGATAGCATCTTGGTTTTCAGGTAGCAAAAATGTAACGGACAATAGTGTGACTGAAAGAAAATATAAGAAAGATATTAATAAAGCGAGAAATCTGTAATGGATTGCTTCAGGTGACGGACGCGGTAAAGTACGTTAACAATATTCGTAGAACCGATGGCAGCCGAGACTCGATTCGAGGCTTTAAGGGAAAAAATAGCCAAAAAGTAGCAAAATTTTTAAATATGACCTCTAGTTCTGGCACTCTTTGAAGTTGTTGAATGTTACGAAAACTTTCTGTAACGTTTCTCCAGTAAGCTAAGATTGAATCGAGAGTAGAGTTCACAACGCTATGAATCTTTGCATACTTAAATGTGATTTCACTAAACTTGTAGGCCAGATGCAACGATCAAATCTCAGTGTTGTACGTAGATTTAGAATCTTGATACTTGTTTGTAGATAAATAATATTTTAAATATCTTTTAACACGTTTATATATTAAAATTTTGAGCACCAAATCGTACTTAATATTTAGTCAAAATGTTAAACTTTAGAAGTGTAGTTAGCACAATATGGTACTTTTATGAAGTAGGTATTTCTTATTGTAGAAAATTATATTTCTCGGTGACGTCACGAAGCTTGTAGGATGATCTTTCATCGAACTGACATTTTTAATATTATTAACTTCTAGTACACATAAGACTTGGTTAATTTTACTTCACGATTGTGGTCCTAACGCTTATGCAATATTTATTTTTAAGTTATGAATTATAATGATCTAGTGCAATAATGTTATTGAAAATTGTGTGAAATTTATGTTGACGTGTTTTGTTTTGTGTTTTTATATAAAAATCGATTGCGTGTCGCGAAGGTCATTGAATTTTAATTGGAAAATATTTTAATACGTTATAGAGTACTTTTTCAGTATTATGTGTATGTAAGATTTTTAGATTTTTAATTTTCGAAACATTTTACAAAAATCAAATGTTTTCATAGGTCGTAGTGGAAAGTAATTTATTGTTACTTTTATTTATTTCCAAAATAATTCAGGAACAAAGCGTGGATGTTGTGTTTATAAATGATCTTTCGATGCGGTACGACTCGCGGAGTCCTGCGCTTAGCTTTAAATAGTTCAGTAAATTTAGGAATTATGTCCACATCACTGTTTAAGAGCTCTGTCTGTCTATTCCTGTAAACTCCATTTTGTAACCAATATTATCCAAAGATGTTTAAAATGCGCTCGACGACGATGGTCACATGAGAGGTGGTCTTACTGTTCTTATTATACTGTATACTTACAATGTAGCAATCTTGTAACTTAATTTCCTAAGTTATGTATGAAAACGACCATCTGGACTTTATTTATTTACTTATATATTCTTTATTGCACAAAACATAAAAATATACATTACTTGTTCATTACCTTATCATAATTAATCGGCTCCATTTCGTTTTGATTGTAACTATTACGACTTGGTAAGATCGCTGATGCGAACGGCGCCGCGACTGGCGGCTGAAACAAATCTATAGCAAAGTACTAATCAAGCCGCGTACAGCGGTGAACGAGTACGGTGGTCGCGTACACGGTCGTTTTGTCCTTCATCTGATCTTAATGGCGAAGTCCCAAGGCTACCAGTGTTAATTTGAACATACAAGACAACGAATATTCAACTCAAATTCACTTGAAAGAGTTTATCATGAACTGTAGATTTTTTTATTGGTTTTATTTACCATGTATGTGGACCAAGAGCGATCTTAACGAAGTTTAAAATTTGGCCTTTTTAGACGTTGTTTTAATATATGTCATTTTAAAATACACGTCTAAATTTATTGTATAAATTTTTATCTTTAGACCTGGGCTTGGAACACCTCTGTTTATAAAAAATCAGAGATGTCGATTGAATTTTGAAATAAGCAAAAGTTTTTATACAATATAATGTTTTCTCTCTCGGATCTCACGTCATCTCTTTCACACATATGCTTTTCACCTTACTAAAAGTTGTATATTGTGTCAAATAAAGTCTATTGCATACCATATATTTTTTTTAGTGTGTCCGAGCCCTTATTTTCAATAATTTAGGTACTATTAAAGTCGTCGTATTACTAAAATTGTTATCTTTCATCTTTGTTGTTATTGACAACTACGAAATTGTTGGTTAACGCATAACTTAGCGATGATGTATAATATATTTTCCTTGTTCCTTCATAAATATTTTACATGGAAGTCTGGCTTTTATTTATTCCACCCTCGAAATAAAAGGCTTGTAAGATTTGGTTGATTTTTTTTTAATATTCTGATTATTTACATTAACTGTGTCATAAAAATTCAAGTGTACAAAACTTCGTCGGTTTGTTGACACATGGAGAACGTATACTCAATTGTCACCACTAAAAACATTTTGTAAGCAATGTTTGAACGTATATAGAGCGGACATAGTACATTCCAAATATAAAAAAATTCAATACAGAAAAAACTACTTCATCTTAGAGCACATTAAATGTCAGAGTGAGACAAATAGCTCATTCAATCATTTATAGCGTTGTCTCTGTCGCTCATTATTACGATTTCAGATATTAGATTTAATTTTTTTTAGAGAGAGAGATTATCGATATATATATTCGAATAATTTCACGAGAATAGATTTAATAATATGATGTGCATATATACCTTTTTCATAAGTTACTACAAAAGTATTGAGAGACCTATCATTGTATTACGGGTCGACGTGACCGAGAAGAGGTTCTCGACGTTTCGCCATCACGAGCGGATGACATCATCAGATGTTAGCTCCCCGATTGCTCGAAAAATTAAGAACAACAGCCCGAAAAAGAAAATTGCTGAAACTTTGGCCGTGAAAGCCTTGTACAATTTATTAACCGAGTCTGTTGAATCGTAAACATACCAACTTCTAAATAATTCATATAAGAAATGTACTATATACACCCTGTATATGGGAATGGAAGTCGTTTAAAAAACTAATCCTAACATTATAAGAGATTAAACTTATCCTAAATTAAGGGTGCTTTATCAATTGAAGCTAACTAAATAAGTTTAACTGATATATCGCGTTTTAAACCGTTAAAGTGTTTTATTTAAATTTGTACTACTCGCGTAAACTATAGACAGTATTTAATTGGTCTGTGTGTCAATCAATCCTAAAAATCTATAAAAAGTTATCGCCAAGCTATATGTTATTCTAGAGGTATCACAAACTTACAGAAAGCACCCTTGTTTTATAAGACATGTCACTGTAAGCCTTATTATAAGGCAATAGGACTCAATTTCGCTTAAACCGATGTCGAATACAACCAGAGCCCGACCGAGACCGAAGTTTTCTCGAAGGTTCTCACAAGTCTTAAGGCAGTCACAAACAAATGCCAGCATGGAGACAAAACTAATCACATAATTTAATATTCATTAGATGGAATGATATGCCCCAATCCTATAACACAAATGCGCTATCGACCTATTGAAATATCGTTGAACCGTCAGCCTTCGTAATACCTAGAACACTCCTACGATCAACTCAAACAACAACTACTCGTCCCTACTTTCAATATTCTAAATTCAAATCTACACTAGCATTCTTGCACTTCTTGTTGCATCGTCGTCCTCGTAAATAATTCCATGGTCAGAGCACTGAGGAACAGCGGTATAGAACGGTGCTGGTGTAAATGTACTTCCACCAGGTCCCCCAGCGACGCGGAGTAGTCTGTGTGCACCATTTCTATACCGTCGTCGCACAGCGTGAACGTGAGGTATTCGTCGGAAGACTCTGCGTACATGTTAGTAATTCTGAAAAAAAAAAAACAGAAATGTATTGTTATGTGTGAAATCCCGTTTCTGTATCCGTTTCACTGATAGATTTTTATTTACAGGCAAATTGTTGATCAAAATTCTGTGAATTGCCCGACCGAAACAATTAATTGTTTCTCCCGGGATTCGAACCCAGAACCTCTTGCGCTTAACGGAATAATAGGCAACACGTGACTATTTAGCTACAGAGGCGGTCAACATATATTACACGTTCAAACATCTTTGTGACCTTGGGCTCGATCGACCTATGTACAATCCACTTTAAAGATTAAACTACTTAATGGCAATGAATCAGTCATTAATTTTATTATTATCCTTTACCGATCGAAGCCCGAGTCAGTGCCTCACACGATGTTGACCATTTCCCCCACTTTTCCCACAAATTCCCCACTCTCCCCAGCCATTTATATATATAATATCTATACAATAAATATATACTAACCTGTAATTCTTATGTACAGTCCTATCTATTTTGTAACCGAGCAGCATGTAACAAACATCTCTGTACTCTTGCGCAGACGCGGTAAATTCTTCTTTCATTCTATAAATATACGCAGTTTTCTTATTATTAAAACATAAAGGCGTACGGAATTAATATATGGATAAAGATTAACACAAGACTAATATAACAATTAAAATGATTTCTCCCCTTGGGGTGTGGAAAAGCCCTATTCCACTGAATGTTACCTATTAAATTATCCGAATGTTAAAAGGCAGAACATTTTGAAACATTGGGCAAACTGTGTTAATAAAAAGCACAAATCCTGCAAACATAACGTTATCGACATGAATTTTTTTTTTCATTTAGATAATTTTTTTTATTTCATTCATTAAAGAGATTACTCACCGTTGAAGCTTAATTCTACTATTTTCTAACTTCTGCTTCAACTCTTGAATTTCTTCTGGACATGCTCGTGAACCACCTTCGCGTAGCGCCGCTTTCAGCTTTTTTATCTGAAATTACAGAGTTTCTAGTATTATTATAATTTATGGACATATTTAAAAAAATCAATGACTGATAACAGATTGCTTAACTTTGTCATGAATCAAAATGTATAATAAAGGTTAATGGTTTAAACCCCGAACTAAATTAATAATTAGTCCTATTATATTACCTCTTCTTGTGCTGATTCTAGATCTACTTGCATTTGCTTTGAAGCAGCAGCTGCCGGGTTGTCAGCCAAATGCAGCACCTTTAGAAACAATATTTAATTATCAGCCTATGGTGATGAAAAATCTATTTACATTGAAAAAAATTGACTACTATATACCATAATAAGTATTTCTTAAGCTACTGGCACTTATTCCGGTTTAAAAAAGCGTGAAGGACCAAAACCAACCAAAATTAACTTACGGCTAATAATGACTAAGTTTTGTACTAAAGGAATGTCTATTTACAGTCCAGTCACAACAACGGTGAAGGTTTCTATAATATGTAAACTCATACTAATATCACTCTCATCAATAACTGAAGTTTTTTTTTACAATTGCTAATACCGAATATCTGAAGGCCAAATAGATCGACAGAACGTCGTGTCTTGGCTGGGATATTTCACTACTATCAGGCTTGTCTGTCAATCTCTTCTATAAGAAAAGAAAAATTGCAACTCACCTTTGTAGGTGCTGCAAGCTTATCGAGATGCGCGTGCAACTGGTCCCTCTGCGCGCGCAGCTTGCTCACCTCACGCTTGGCCGCTTCAGCCTCCTCACGATACTTACTTGCCTCTGCTCTTGCGTTCTCCAGTGCTAATTGATACAAAAAAAGTTACGCAATAATTAATACTAGAGAGTGCGGAATAATAGTGCGCCAACGAGGAAGATTAGTACTCTAATTATCTAGGTACTATGTAACTATAGTGTATTTTTTCTAGCTTGGCATTTTTGGCAAACAAACACACAATTTACTTGAAATCGTTAAAACGTAAAAACACTACATTTTATATTAAAGTTGCGAACCACATCAATACCACGTAGTAAACACCACAATTTCATGCTAAAATTAATAAAAATAAAAACGACTATACATAAATGCACAGATTATAATAACTTCAGTTTGACATATACATAAGGATGGGATGTAAGCAAAGTTAGCGACAATAGAAGAAGTCCCACTCATGCTCGATCGCTGTAAAGCGTTTTTAACGTCGTTAAATAATAATAATATCAGAAATTAAAAGAAAGGTCGCCATAAAAGTAATTTTGAATACTGAGGATTTTTGGTAGGTCCATATATAATCAACATTTCTTTCCCTCTGTGTCATCTATACCTCTGTGACAACTAGTATATTTCAATTAACTTGTAAGTAGTAGTAAGTTTGAAATCGACCATATTTTCTGTGGTTGTTTTGCCAAGTTAGAAAAAATACACTATATGTACTTTTGCATTATATGTATATAATGGCACAGTAAAGTTTGTACACAGGTGTTAACTACCTTTAGCTTGTCCGTCCTGATCGTGTGAAGCCAGCAGATCTCTGTAACCCTGCAATGATTTCTCGAGTTGTTCAACTCTCGCGGACAAGAGTGCCGCGCTACCAGCACCGGTGTCTCCGCTCAGCGTCATAGTGAGTTCCTTTTCATAGCTGTCCAGCTGTTGCCTAGCAACATGTTATCATATAAATATATAGTAATAAATATATATAGTATTATTAATAGTAATTCTTTATTACGAAGAATTTTTACTTTATTATTGGAAACTACTTTAGTAAATACTGTCTGTAGTTTAAGTTTAGTAGTACACATATAAATAAAACACTTTAGCGGTTTAAAACGTGATGTATTAGTTAAACTTTCGATGGTTTTGCAGCAGCCGTGGTCACAGGGAAACGGCAGGCCGTAGTTAAAATAATTTTCAAATGAGTTTATGTAAATCGCGTTATAAACCGTCAAAGTATTTTATTTATATGTATACCGCTAGCTTAAGCGACAGGCAGTATTTACTAAAGTAGTTTCCAATAATAAAGTGAATAAATATAAGGAAAATTTACTAAACTGACTATATTAAAACGTAACATAGTGGTATTTTGTTTGAAAAGTGTAACAACTTTTTTGCTAGCTTTTAATGTTTTAATGAAATATTTAACTAAACTGAATAAACTATTTATAATGCACTTACTATTTGTACTTTGGTTGCAAAGATATAGAAACTTATCTTCATCTTACGAATTTTAACTATCTTTTCAAATATTTTAATTTTCTTACCTGTAGCTATCTCTTTCTCTCGTCACGATCAACAAACGTTTCTGCAGTCTGTGGATAAGGCTCTCCTGATTCTTTCTCACGGTTTGCAAATCGTTCAGCTTTGCGGTTGCCTTATCGCGCTCAAACTTAACCGTTGCTAGTTCCTAAAAATAGAAATCACGCTAAGACAACTAAACAAACAAAAGTTTTTTTTATAATATAGATTGATAAAATAACCTTTTTTATTGTTTATGCATTGTTTCAAAATGCATTCCCAGTTAAATAATATTCTATGGACCTACCTATTTTGAGCATTACCGGAGGTCCTTAAATAAGCTATTTAGCTACCCCCCTTTTTTATGACCCTGCATAAGGTTATGGGCGTAGGTTTGGCCAGTGTAATATAGGTTTTTTCAAACTATTAGAAATGTTACCCCTCTATATTCAATGTTCTACCTCGTTTATTTGTGCCAACTGTGACTCTGCCTGCGTAGAAGTCTCTACAGCTGTAAGTTGGCCGCTGAGTGCGTTCTCCAGAGCAGACGAAAGTGCACGAGCCGATTCCACGCCATGCCCGCGCGCAGCGCTGCGCCATTCCTCCAAATTTGCCTCGAGGGACGCAATTTTAACCTAGAATAATTTCTAGGTAATCAGTAAGATTAATCCCTGATGGTAATCTGTACTGAGAGAATAATGCGAATACCTTAGCCTCGTGTAGCTCCTGTTGTACAGGCTGCAAGGCTTCCACCTTCCCTGTCAGGATGTGAACCTGTTCTTCCAACAACAGTTTATTACAAATCGCGTCACGTAGAGTCCGCTCGTTCGCGCGCAACCTTGCAACTTCTTTTTCTAACTCTGCCATGTTGACTAGCCGCTTTTGGGCAGTCTATAAACACAACAGCTCATTTGAGTAATGAATACAAAGGCTGTTTTAAATTATAAATGTACCAATTAGTACATTGCTATGTTCAATAAAAAAATAATAAGAGAAGGATTCAAATAAAACACTTAAACGGTTTAAAACGCGTTGTAAATTAAAGTCAATCTTATTTGGAATTTATTTTAACTACAGCACGATGTTTCGGATGTTTTGCAGCAGCTGCAAACGTGGCCATGTCTCCGAATAATATTAAATAATCATCATCGCGTTATAAACCGTTTAAGTGTTTGATTTAAATGTGACAGTATTTAGAATTAGTAATAAATGTAATAATAAAACACTTTTCTTCCAACTTCAAGTCCATAGTATTAGTAGGTCCTACAATAATAAATTAATGTCTTTTCTGTCGGGCCCTTGTGTTTAAAGACTGTATTGAATAGGGCAGGGTTCCACTTTCAGGGAAAAAATATTTATGTGAGTCAAGAAGCATATTATATATTGCAGAAAGAGTGTGTCTGCCTTAAACCCATCTAATTGATATGGATCATATTTCTGACAAGTGACAACTTAAAATTAGCATCATTACCTTAGTTTGTATCTGCCAATCTTTGTAAGAGTCTCTTTCATATTCTATTTCCTTTAATTTGCTTGAGACTTGCTGAAGTTCAAAACTTTGTTTCTCAAGTTGAGACTTAAGAGCTGTGCACTGATCGGCTTTTGCTTTTAATTTTTCCACTTCGCCTCTAAGTAACTCGCTCTCCTCTTGAGCATCTTCCAATGCCTACATAATGGACAACAAATGTAATACCATCTGTTACACAAAACTATATAAATATAAAATATAGTTTACTCCAAATATATTTACTTTATAAAATTAATGTGATAATAATAGTATTATGTATAGACATAAATATGAATTATTAATTTGAACAAGTATTTTAGATTTTATGATTAATTTTTCTGAACTCACAGAAAGAAAATAATGCATGGATTAAGGTTTATTTATCTTAATGTTTATTCTGTAAAAAATTGAGTTAAAAAGCATACCGCTAATAATTCATTCATATCCTTTTGCATCTCAGATATTTGATCCTTGCAGCTTACATTAGCTTGAAGTAATTGATCCTTCAATTCAGAATTTTGTTTTTGAAGCTCCATCTTTTCTTTTTCCCATTTAAATTTTGTGTCCTTGAACTCCTTCATAGACTGAAAAACACAATGTTTTAGAGTTAATATTAGTGTATTTAAATAAAACACTTTAACAGTTTAAAACGCGATATATTAGTTTAACTTATTTGAAAATGATTTTTAACTTTGGCCCGACGTTTCGGATGCTTTGCAGCAGCCGTGGTCACGGGGAGACCGTTTTTCAAATAAGTTTAACTAATATATCGCGTTTTAAACCGTTAAAGTGTTTTATTTAAATGTGTACTACTCACGTAAACTATAGACAGTATTTAATATTAGTGTAATTAAAAACATTTTCCATTTGAAAAATTATTCAACAAACCAACAATTAACAGTATACACTGAAGTTGCTCTATCATAAACACTTTAGTACCTCACTAAATTCTTCCCGCAAGTCTTGCTCTCTCTTCCTGATCAGCTGTAGCCTATCTTCCATATCGGACACCATTCGTTCATCTCTTTTATGTTGTTCCACCAATGATGCCTTCTCTTCTTCAAATAATATTTGCATTTCCTTACGAATTGCATGTTGGTGGTTAATTCTTGCTTCTAATTTTGCAATCTAAAAATGAAGCTCAGTATATGAAATACAGATTAATAAAGTAACTAAAGTCTTAGTGAAAACATTTAAAAAAATTGATTTCTAACTTGAGCCTTTGCGCCAATCAAATCTATTTTTAATCTTTTCGCTTCCCATGGTGATGGTGGAACACTGCTCGTTGAGTCAGTACGAAGTCTTTTTCCGGGAGTTTCTACGTCTCCACCAAAGCTTGGTTTTCGTTTTCCCAAATTCACTAAGTTAGACAAGTCTAAAAAGTTTATATTTAACTATAAATATGTCATGTTATAGTAAATTTAACATTTATGTGTAATGCCTGCCTTAAAACATGGATAATTTGAAAAACAAGACCTTACCACTTTTAGGTGAAGTATTATTGCTTTCTGTAAAATTAAACTTTGCAGACATGGATAGTCTATCTTTCGGTGGCTCAGTGTTAATAACGCGCCTAAACGGCTCTAACACATCATTAAATAGCGAGACATCGCTCTCCTTCGCCATTACGTTAGTTATGACAAAATCTAAGAATCTTATTAATACATAACCACTATAACGAAGGAATACAGCATTTGATCACTGTTTTATAATTTTATTAGAATGTTAATTTACAAAAAAATACTATAACGCCGACCAATACACATTCTAACCACAGATACTAATTTTGCAATTGTCAAGCTGAGGGTTTTACCAATTTTGCCTAGTCGTAATCGCCTGGCGTGCTCTGTGGTGAGATTTACAGAATAGCGTTTGGTAAGATTTTGTATGCTGTAACTAAATCTGTTATTGCTAATTATTTTGATTTGATTCTGTGGTATTAACGCATGTATGCGCCTGCGTCGATTTCGTTTACAAATGAGTTTTAAATTGTTTGAATGTTTATATTTTAACTTATGAATTACAATTAGCTTTAATAGCATTTCTTAAGTCATGGTTGTCGAGCAAACGTATTAAATATTTATTAAAGTTTATGTATCATATCAAAACCTTTTATAGTAATACATATTAATAATTAATACAAGGCAATATGAACAATATATAGGATGGCTGACTTTAAAATGAGAACCAAGGATGGTAAAACCATAAATCAAGATGAAAATTACTGTGTATTTAATGTTATAAGTGTGTTTATATCACTTGTAACTATACTTGCTGATTTAACAACAGGTAATGTGTAAAATTATTATCTATAATATTTGTTTGGAATTAATTATTTTATTAAAATTAAAATTACACCTCTTTCAGACATTCTAGTCTTTATTGAATACTGCAAGAATGGCTACTTGGATTGGGCACTTATTACTATAACATTTATTATAACTCCAAATATATTGATAAATATATTCTCTTTGAGATGGTTTCTTATTGATAAAAAAGTGAATATTCATCACTGGATAACACATGGTTTTCTTGTTGGCTTACTAGAGAGGTAATTTAACATTGTCTGATAATTATTACAATGTAAGGACTTGAAATTAATTGAATGTATCTCATTAGATCCACTATGCTTTTTCAGGTACATTATATTCTTGTATGAAGTATTCTCATGTAAGAATTTTGAATTATTGAAATCCCAAAGACTGTTGATCCAGAGAAATGACTTGAGCCTCTTGCATTTTTTGTATGTTTTTACTGGGACCATACCACAAATTGTTTTGCAAACCTATGCCATTGTTATGTTGCAAGAAAATTACTACACTAAAGGTAATATTCATCTTACTAAACTTATAATGTTTTTTTTTTATATTGCTGGTGCAGATGACTCATCTTTGTTTTATTTTTTACTTATTTCAGTATTTTCACTAACAGCATCTGTTGCATCGGTGACTTGGGGTTGTGTTACATACATATACAGTATAACATCATTCTCATCAGGTTATATTAACTGGATTTCTCTTTTGCTAAAACTAACATGGCACTTTGGCACAGTCATTGGAAGAGTAGCTGGTATACTACTGTTCAGCATCATATTTGGTGTATGGACCCTTATACCCTTAGGTAAGCAACTGAGCACATTTTGCACAAAAGCTTTAATTATAACTAAAAAATTAATAGTAGTAGTTTTTATTTGTTTTAACCCGCTTTTTTTATAGGACTGCATTGGTCTGCGATGACTTTCTGGATAATAACTCAAAAAACGACGTTTTGTCCCAATAAATTTGAAGAGACTTTGTATAATGCTGTTATGGGATTTGTGTATTGCTTCTGTTTTATTAACATTAAAGAGGGACACACGCGGTATCGTCTAATGTTATTTTATACGCTTATTATAACACAAAATATGGGAAGTTTACTTTTGTATGTACTACTGTCTGATGATGAAAAGCAGAGGAAAATATGGTCAATTGCTTCTACAAGTTGTGTTGTTTTGGGGACTGTTATTGGTAAATATCTATAACTGATAAATGAAATAAATTTTGTTATGGTTACAAACCAATATGACTTGTTCTTTCTTGCAGGCATGGTTTCCATGGTTCTATATTACAGATTTTTTCATTCAAATGGTCAAATTCTATGGAGATATGTCAATGAAGATGTTGAACTAAATAATAAAGAAATGAGTGATAATACCAAAGAGGCAAGCAAAAAGACAGGGACCCTTAATATTTTAAGATCGTTTAAAAATTCCAACATCACAAATAACTCTACTATAGTGGATGTTGAAAGTGGAAAAAGGTTTGATAAATGAATGTATTTTTGGTTATTATCAAATCCTTAAACTAGTACTGGCTTGTCTGATATTATACTGAATGTATTATTGGTGTTTTGCTGTAAGTAGTCTTTAAAATTGAATTTTAATATTTACAGAAGAACTACGAATATTTCTCAGTCTGTACAGAAGAGTGAAAGTGAAAATGCCGACAAAAAGTTTTTGCTCGAGCATTGGATTGCCAGAGCTGGTTCTCCTACATTCACATCAGCTCCAGTGGGTGATATGAGCTTGGATGTGTCCAGTATTGAATTGTACACAGTAGAGAATACACCACAGACTGTTATGACTATGCGCGACAGTCTTATGTTAAAACCAAAAAAGAAAATTTGCTCGCCCACTGAATTAACTTTAAAATTGTCTTCAATTGATAATATAGAAAGTTCTATAGATGAAATAACTTCAAATGCACTTAATATACAAAAACGACGCGGAATATGTTCATCGGATGAACTAAGAGAAGATTATAACAATTTAAATCTAGGATCATCAAGCATTCTAAGTCAAGAATTTTCAAAAGGAAAAACCGATCGTAGTTCAGAGCTTAGTCACGAAACAGATGGGTCTAATAAGAAGACATCTTCAGATTCTATTGATTTGGATCTTGACTTGAGTTTTAGTGATATAAATAGTTCTGATATTAACACATTTAACGAAAATATAGTGCAGAAACTATGTCTAAGCGCACTAAAAAATATCAAAGTCGGAAATCAAGATGCAGATATAGAAAATATTCAAAGGATAGCATTGGATATTCTTAAAGAAATGTATACTAAGAAAGATCGCAAGAAAAACGCTATAGCTTCAGGACTCTTTCATGTTAAGAGAGATTTGGATACACCAACTGAGATATTATCGGTTCACGATTATGAAAACATTTGTGCTGTTAATATAGCTCGAGAAGCTTGGGGTTTGCGGTCATGGAACGGGTATTGTGATATAGAAAACTGGATGCATGATGGGAGTGTAGTTAGGGATAGGAGTCGAGACACCTTCACGTCAGAGAGCTCGGAAATCAGTAGTTGTTTGTCGCAAGAACTTAAAACAGCCATACTGTCTGCCCCCCCTTTTCCCAAAAAATCTCACACATACTCCAACGTGTTCGTAAAAATAGAAAGAAATCCTGAAGATTATGCCAATGCCGTGGTGTGCCATACAAACGACGATACACTCTCTTTTAAATCATTTATCCTCGAGAACTGTAAGGATCCCAACCATTTAGAACCAATTATGGAAGAACTAGATGATTTGGGAGATATAGACCCGGCAATAAAGAAACGGTTAAATTCCGAAAGTTCCCTTGTGGCCACTATAGACGAGATTAGAAAAGCGACTGTAACTAATTCTCCCAGAAACTTATATCACAGAAGAGAACACACTTGGGAGTCACCTCAGCTTAATAATTATATACAAAGTGAGTATAGTCTTAAAAAGGCTCTTTGGAAAGAACCGTGTAAATTCGACCCGAGTAATATAATGAATTCATTGCCAGAAAAAGAGATCGCCTTAGATACTGTTGTGAAATTTGAAACAGAAAAACAGTTGAATGTTGCTTCCAAAAATGCATATCTTAACAATTCAACAAGCTTGAGCCAGTTAACGCCGAAAAGAAGACCCAATAACTCTTTAAAAAGTCAAAATAAGAAAAATAATAATCAAGTCGACCCCTCCCATGACATTTCGAACAAAAATATTGATCTCCTCTGGCGGTTAGTTTCAGAAAACGCATCCCCAATATATAGTTCTACAGAAAATTTTTCATTGAGTCGAAAAACACCGTCATTACAATCGCTAATACAAAAAGATTCTAGTGTACCTAACAATGCAATGGCAAAAGTTACAAATGTAAAAAAGAGTTCTAGGAACAAACCGAGAAGGAAATTTTCTTTACTACGCGAGAAATTTGAACCCAAGGTAAATTCTGACGAAGAGAACTTATGCCGCTCAGACAGTAGTTTACCAGGACATGGTAATCAATTTAACTCAGACAGAATGCAACAAATTAATTCACACCTCGAAAGTGAAATTGGTTTTCCTGTAAAAGATATTCCTTCAGGGCACAAGGAGTCATCTTCAGAATTGCATTCAGCGACAGAACAGATAAAAGAAAAAAGATCCTTATTCATGAAACAAGTATTGAGTCCACCAAAATTTAACTCAAAGTTGAGACAGAAAATATAGTATTAGCATAAGCCATTATTTGCATATTTTAAAAGGAAACATACGTTTTCTATTAATGTTATTACTAGAGATGGGCCGAGTACTCGGTTGATACTCGGTACTCTGCGTACTTGGTGGGTTTTTGATACTCGTACTCGGCCGAATAACTCGGTCATACTTTAAGAAAAGCAATATATTTAGGTATATATATTGAAATCAACAGTGTTAATCCAAAAGTTATTAGTAATTTAGGAAATCTTTGAAAATCTCAAACATATGACTGGTAGTAGAAAGTGTTGTAGCGGGGTGTATAAAAGCTAGTCGATGTTTTGACCGGCGCGAACCTGTTTGTACTTGTTTACGCAGGCAAAATGGGACTTTGGCCAACCCGAGTTACTCGGCGCCACTCTAGTTATTACTTGAAATGTGGTTCCTATACTACAAAATTAATCCTTTTAGATAGCACTAAGTTTTAAGACTTGAATACAGATCTCAGCATAAATTTAGTCAATGTGATTTACATAATGTTCTTTGAACATTACATTAACTTTAGGCACCGTTACCTCATATAAGATTAATTAACGACTTATGTATGTAATGTTAAATGCAATCGACTTTGGTACTCCTTAGCGAAATATCCTTGCCTTTTTTATTTACTTATAAGGTTGATTAACATCTCTTTGTGCTAGGTTCATATATAACAATTGTTATAAATCTGTATTATGCATCAGATTATGTGCTTTTGCAATGTTATGATTAACAAAAAAAAATATTGCAATACCATTAAGATGGTTTGAAAATATTTAGAATTACATAATGTTAAGAGTTTTCAACTGTGATTTGTGCCTTTAAGATGTATTCTTCCGCCAGTATTGTACTTTTAATATAACTTTTATATTCCAAGACTTTGTTTTCATTTTAAATGATTCTATCATCTATCAATATTACAAAGCTAAAAAGAGTAATATTATAAAGAGTTTGCTTGAACGCGCTTATCTCAGGAACTTCACTTGTTCGATTTGAAAAATTATTTTGTTGGTTAGACTATTTATCGAGAATGGTTGCGAAACTTCGGGCTGTAACCAATAGGAGCGAAAAAACAGTGGAAAATGTGATAATAACGGGGAAAAAATTACATCGCTGAGGGCTTTAATAGCGGAAACGGTTCAAGAGACAAAAAAATCATCGAAATTAACCCATTATTACCAATTATTCCTTAGAGTTCAACATATTATTTAATTTATCTTGCAAGTGACAAAACAATTTCCGCCCGATCAGCAAGTCGGTAATAAATTGCCCAGTGTATTTAGATTGTAAAATTTATTGCAAAGTATAAAAATAGTTATAAATATAGCTGCTATATATAATATAAATGTTATGTATAAAAATACATACTCTGTATTTTCTGTTGCAAAATTTTGGCACTGTCTAAAGATAATTTATCACATATATAATAATTTCGTTACACATCTTACAATATAAACAGCCTTTTTGTTATAGACATTATAGTTCCATATAAATGTAAATTAGCTTATTTTTTAATAAATATAATAATTTATGACTAAACAACCTTTGCCACTTTTAGTTGGCAATTTTTTATATTAATGACTAATAATAGTTTAGTTCTTAACCATAGATTACTTTAATAAATATATATAAAGAGTAAAATATTTCTGTTGTTACAAATACAAGGAATCATTGCAATTATTTGTCTATATAAAAATAGACTTAAAGGTCAGTTGTCATAACATTTGTCAAAAGACGAATGCGATGAGCATTGCAGGCTTTACATAAAATATGACCGTCAAGAGGATAGCAGCCCCTGCCCTCTGATTCAGAAGAAAGTAGAAGACCACAATCTTCACATCTATAACAACGTACATGAAAACTACGGTCCAGAGCAACTACCCTGACAGTTTCTTCTTCGCCCTCCTCAGGCATAATCGGCAGTTCACACACACAGCAACGAGGGGCAAACTTCTTGTGGAAATCTTCAATACAATGAATCTGATTCATCGCATCAACAGTAAAGGGAATACCATCCAAACTCTTGCCACATACAACACATGTGAAGCAAGTGGGGTGATAAGGCTTCCCGGTTGCTCTTAAAATTCTATCCAAAATGGGGTTGTCACAGACGGAACATTTCTCCAAGGTCTTATAGTAATCTGTTTCACAATAAGGTTGACCTTCAACAGCATAAAATGGTTTGCCCTGAAGGTTAGTATTGCAATGGTCGCACCGAAAGCATTGCACATGGTACATATTACCCATAGCTGTACAACCTGAACTCTCGCCAACAACTTTTTGGGTGCATTTTATGCATGTTCCAAACACATCTAAATCTTGGCTGTCAGATATAGATTGAACGAGAAGATCAGTTAATGCATCAACTTCTTGTTCTTTAGGCAAAGGTTTTTCAGTTTTAATGTTATCCTGAAAACTCAAATTGCTGGCAGTTTTGTTGTTTAGCTGTGGGCTGATTGGTTCATAAAGTGACTCATAATTTGACGCTTGAGAGGCACCATAATCTTGATATTCATTTTGATAAATATGTGGGTAGTTTTGCCTCTCCTGGTTGTAGTTTATGTTAGCTGTTGCTCTGGCCAGCTCACTGTAGTTGGAACTGACTGGTGATGGAGGTGGTAAATATTCTTCATGATTGTTGTTGGGATTACTCAATTTGGAGGGTGTAACTAAAATTGGAGGAATAGGAGGAGGTGGAGGGGGAGAAGGAGAAGACCTCTGATACTGAGGGATATTGCTGTAGGTTGGGTTGTAAACTTGCGATGGCAAGGGAACATTATTTTTAAATGCAACGTTAGGTAAGGTAAGTTGGGTTACATTAGCATAATCTTTGTGCGGCACATGTACGTTGTGAGCATTTTTCAATGCATTATATGTTGGCGGCGGCGGTGGAGGTGGTGGTGGAATATGACTATTAACTGAAGATATCTTCAACGAGTACGACGGCTCGCATACATTATTAACGACAGCACTTCGAGGAACTTGAGGTTGAGCCTTTTTCTTAGGAGGTACAGCTGGCGGTACTTTTTTTATTCTGCCCGAGTTGAAATCTTTATTCATTTGTAATTCTGCTAGTTGCCTCTCCAATGCTTCCATATTGTCTAATCGCGACATTGTGACGGAAAGTAAAAATTGACTTACTACAATTATTATTTTTATAGATAACAAATACCTTTTTTATTAATTACCGATTTCTTTGTTCAATACTTAATCCATAATTTATTCAGGTATTCTCAAATTCGTAATACCAAACCATGACACGTTTGACTCATGGACTATTGACATAATATGATGTAGAAGGTCAAGTTGCCAAATCCGTAATTTAGATTTTTAATTGATTATTTAAATTATTATAGATCTAAATAACCCTAAATAATAAATATTTTTAATAACAGAATATGTGTTATGTGATTTGTAATATATTATAATACTATTTAGCCTAAATATACTAAACGATAAATACCACAGCTAACAACTTTTTATATACTGTGTTTGGGAATTTTTGTGCAACTGACATTGACTATCTTTACTTAAATTTGGCAGTTTCACTGTAAAATAATAAACAGTAAATTAGCATTGAAAATACAAGTTCGCGGGGATATATTTATAACTTAGACTTTTTATGTAATAAACATTTTCTTATACCCAAGTTTTTGTAATTCCGCTTTTTAAAAATGCAGTGCCAACTTTGGATGGGCAGTGTAAGTAAATCCTTTACTTCATTTATAACCTTTGATTAATGTTTTTACAGTAATTTCTTTATTATGTTTAGTTGGAGCCAAACATGACGGAGAGTTTTATATTGGCTGCCTTTCATAGAATGGGACAACGGCCTTTAGCTGTAAAAGTTATGCGAAATAAATTCACTGGAGAACCAGCCGGCTATGCTTTTGTTCATTTTCAGGTAATCAAACATTTAGATATCAATTATTATACTTTTCATGTTATCTGTTAATTTTTTAACTCGTGACTTATTTATGTATGTTTACAGACAGATGAAGAAGCAATTGATACTATGCACAAACTGAATGGGAAGCCTATCCCTGGTACATTCCCTGTGGTGAGATTTAGACTAAACACAGCATCAAGGGAAGCCCGTGCTAACATGCAACAAGAGAGGGAGTTTTCCGTTTGGGTTGGAGACCTCAGCCCTGATGTTGATGATTATTCATTATATAGAGTATTTGCCTCTAAATATTCTTCTATTAAAACAGCTAAAGGTATGTTTCTTCCTAATAAGTATCAGAGAATGGTTTGTTATGAAGAAAATATAAGATAAAGTATTTACTATAGGTATAATCAAAATCAAAAGGCAAACATACATTGCGCACAATATTATAATAGTTATAATATATTTTAAAGTGTCATAATGTAAATAAATAAAAATGTAATTTTATAATAATGTATTTAATACAGCCTTATTATTATTATTATAATGAAATAATTGTTGTATTAATTATTAAATGAATTTAATGGTCCAATCCACTATGTCAAGTGTCATTTGTTTTCAGTGATTTTGGATAACGCTGGTTATACCAAGGGATATGGTTTTGTCAGATTTGGCAATGAAGAGGAACAGCGGAATGCTTTATATGCAATGAATGGGTATACAGGCCTTGGTACAAAGCCGCTTAAAATATGTACAGCAGTGCCAAAACCTAAGAGTGCTATAACTACTCAGACCACAACAACCACCTCTACAAACCCTGCATACTCATCAGGAACAGTATGTTATAGGAAAATATATTTTTAAAAATAGAAAGAAAAGAAAATCATGTTTATTAACAAATTTAAAACATTTCGTGACACATCGCCCAATTTTTATCAGGGGAAGGACCAGACAATTGCTATAAATGTTTTATAGTCACTTTTGTGTAAAGACACATAGTCTTCAAACAACACTATTATAATTTCTTTTGAACCCAGGTCAAGTCAAGGTTTAACTATTAAGTATGGTACTAAATTCTTCATGTTCAGAACCCTTTTCAAAATAGGTAAAAATCTGGCAGCACTTTTTATATAAACTTTTCTGTTATATAAATAATATGTAACATTTAACTACGTATGTGAGTGAGTAAGGAATTTTTCTATTGAATTGTAATTCTAGGAGTACAACCAATATTATGACCCATCCGCTTATTGGCAAAACTATTCTGCTTGGTCTGGGTATTATGGACACGGTGACAACACGTCTGCAGTTGCGCAGGTACAGACTGTGGATTCTGCACAGGCTTTAGCGGCAAAGGCACAAAGTGATGAACTTGCACTTGTTGGTAAGAAAACCTCATCATCATCTTCAAAATTCTTGTAACTCTATTTTTGAAGTAATCAGATAATCTGTGATGTAATATTACAGCAACAGATTATCTAGCTTACTGTACAACAATCTTCACCAGTAGACAGGTAGCTCGATTTGCCCTTCTAGTTCTAGAGCCCTCAGGTTTTTTAAAATGATAGAGTAGGATAGAGCATATTTGTGATTTGTGAGGTAATCCCATGTATGTCTCAATCTAAATTAAAAAAAAAAACAAGATGCTAGCTATCCACGTGTATACTTTGGAGATCCACAGACTGAAACACAAAGAAATGTTTAAACTTCACGGGTTCTTTTATCTGTGGATACTGGTTCGTGACATGGATGAAAATTCGATATTCCTACCGCCCATTTTATATCCAGAATTCCACATTAGGTCAAAATATTTGAGAAAAATTATAATTGATTAGAGATATTTTGGGATGAACCAACGACCTGTTGATTTTTATTTTATTGAAATTATAATTTGGGTTAACATTTTTAAATATTGGAGCTTTATATCGATAATATTGTTTGGTTAAACGTCATGCATAAACAATGGTTAATTCTTTCAGAGCATAAAAGGTTTTTAGATGTGGATAAACTGAATCAAGATTTCATAGATCCAGAACTTTCGTTATGGGATGGACTAGAGTCATCACAGTGGTTCCCTCATGAAGTTGTGGAGGCACATTGATAGTTCAAAATACTGCTTAGTTTTAAGTTTATAAATAAAAATATCTAATTGAATAAGTGAGTTTTCCTATATTTTATTACATAAAAACATATTTTAACTAAATGAATTACAAAGCAGATAATTTTTATGTCTGTATAGGTTATTTATTAAAGCTTCAATATCAAGATAAATGTAGTCGTCTTTTACACATCATTTTTATCAAATAACTTGTTAAATTTTAGTTTGGTTAAAGTCTGGACTAACATAGAACCTTAGTTCATAAGTAAAAACATACAAATTCAACTTCAAGATTTTATTAAGTAAAAATAATAAAATTAAATAAATACAGCTTAAACTTATATATACAGGTTGTTCCATATAGGAGGAATGAGTGAAATAGCAGATCATATAGGCTGATCACTAATTGTTTATTGTCTTCAATATAAAAAAAATAATAATATATGTACACGGAAAAGGAAAAGCTACACATAATAAATTAAAATCATATGACATTATTTGTATTAAAATAATTTTAGTAAATACTGTCTGTAGTTTACGCGAGTAGTACACATTTAAATAAAACACTAACGGTTTGAAACGCGATATATTTTAGTTAAACGTTAAAGTTAAAAATATTTTCCAAACAAGTTTAACTACAATATATCGCGTTTTAAACCATTAGTGTTTTATTTAAATAATCTTATCATAGTCTGTAGTTTAACACATATAACGGTTTAAAACGCGAATATACGATGCAATATGCAACAGTCATGTTCATACAGACCCCCTTAAATGCGGCTGCTGCAAGGCACCTGAACCTCTGACAGTAGTAAAGATAAGTTAAGCAATATAGATCATGTTATAAACCGTTAAAAGTGTTTAATAAAAATGAGCTTAGTATGTAAAAACTTCAACAGAACAGTCTAGACTGTAGTGTATACGCGGCCTTGGTCTACCAACTAAAATGGAATAACTTGATTATTAATATTGGCTAATATGGCCAGACATTATAATATTGTGAAAAAATTAAAATCCCGTTTCTTCCCGTGGGCAACACATTTTTTGTTGGATTCACAAATCGTTCTTTTACCCTTTCAGACAATAGTGCCTTGCCCGACACAAACACACTATTGTTTCCCCAGGATTCGAAACAAGGTACTCTCGTACAAACTCAATGTTAGACAACTCGTTTAACCATTTGGCTACAGAAAAGGTCAAAACAGTGATATCTAAAGCTCTGTTATAGAAAAGGAACTATTTCGTATCCTATCAGAAGTCTTAACACTCGGGGTACTACTTCTACTATCACCATTTAAAGGGGATAACAGCGGAGAGGAATTTCCGGATGCGGTACTTTTCGGAGTACCCTTCTTCATATACCCCACCACCGAATTTAAAAGCACCGAGGGCAAAGCGACTTGCGATAATTTCCCCTTCTCATGAGCTATGTAGGTTTGCAACATTTTCTTTCCAGGGGATTTTGGATCGTTCACTGTTAACACTATCAGTGACCCGGTCTCTATATTCGTTGGTAGGTTGTGTAGAGAAAGTTCTGGTGTTCTGGTAGATGTGGGGGTGTTTAATTTCGTTATTGTTGCCATGTCTGTTGGACCCGGGGTGGTATTCGACTTTCGTCGCTTGTACACCTTCTCTGGTATTGCCAGTGTTGGAGTTTTATTAACTGTGCGGGCGGAATTACTAGTTTTTATCACAGGCGTTATTGGTATCGGTCGCTTATAGCTTATTTGTTCAGATTTATTATTGGTTAAATTAACTGGAGGCACTTTTTTATAAGCGTTTGCGGTCCTTTTTAGCAATTCATTAACCGTTCCTGTATTCTCTTTTTGCTTTACGTCATCTTCTTCGCTTACTTCTAATGCTTTTAAACCTCGACCTGATTAAAAGAATATTATTAAATTAAAATAAGATCCTAAAACCATTACATTTCGTTAATATAAAGTTAACTCACTTTTTGCCCTGTATGTTTTGATTCGTTCTTTTTCTGCCTTCTTCTGCTGCAGGTACAATTCTTTCTCTTTTGCCTTTTCTTCTTCTGCTTTACGCTTAGCTGCCTCTCTTTCTTCAGCAAACTCTTCCTTCAGAGATACAGCGTTCCACGATATCTTTGAACGTAACGCTTTGTCGACTTGTTCTCCGTTAAGCTTTTCTTCTTTTTTAAACTGAAATAATAAATATAAGAGAAACTCTTCCTGTTATTCAAGTATTCTTGGTGGTTGCTTAATCTTATCACTACACCTGAGGAGTAGAGGTAGGGTAAGGTAATTATAAAAAACTAAGATTTGAAGGGGAGACAGAGTTGGATAACCCAACGATCATTTCAGCCATTTCATAAACCTAATCCTATGTAGGGAAGAAATGGGTGAAATGGTCGGTGTGGACTGATCACCGGGCTTTTATCGGTTCCCCAATAGAAAACATTAATTTTACTTCTTCTACCTAAGGCTACATGGCTAAGATTATCAATAATACACTTGATATTTTACCTTCAGTTTGAGATCTTTTCGCGTCCTGTCTGGAAATAGTGCAGCCATTAATGTAAAATCTGTGCCAATAGCCGCTAATGCTCTGTAAAACCGGACTGTCTCTGGTCCAGTCCAGTCTGCCGTCCTGGGGGCCCGTTTGTACTTCCCTTGACAGGGCATCCATGCTCCTTCGCGCACAACTGATGATATCTTCTGATTTTGTGTTTGTTGTATTACCTGGATTAATTAGACATGTTTTATGTAGTAATAGTGATCAGATTAATTATTAGACAGCCAAGCTTGTCTATTTTAGTTATTTCATAGTGTAATATCTTACGGCATCCTTTTATGGGGCAATGTAGCCGATATTCAAACTATATTTTTTTACAGATTTACTATCCGAATGTTTTATGGTTTGCTCGACGAAAGTCTGTGACTTAATTTTAAACATTGAATGAGTTTTCATTAGCAATATAATTCATGACAATAATTGGATAAAATAAGTGTACCGCCTATAGTCTAATCTAGTAGTACACATTTAAATAAAACACTTTAACGGTTTAAAACGCGATATATTAGTTAAACTTATTTGAAAATGATTTTTAACGGCCCGACGTTTCGGATGCTTTGCAGCAGCCGTGGTCACAGTCGAATATATCGCATTTTAAGCAGTTAAAGTGTTTTATTTAAATTTAACCAAAAGGCTCCATAAAACAAGTAATTCTTTTCAAGGCATACGGTATTTTAATAAAATCCCTATTGAAGTAAAAACACTGTCAATAGATAAGTATAAATCGTATGTTAAACAAAACCGCTTGAAAAGGGATTTTATAACGTAAATGAATACTTAAATGATAAAAATGCTTGGAGCAGTATGGTAGGAACCCGCTCTAACAAGGAAGAAGATTTACACTATGTGTAAATCTTCTTCCGTGCGTAAGGGATTTTAGGAAATTGTAATAAAAACTCGGCAATTAAAAGGAGTGGCGGCGAGTTTCTTGCCAGTTCTTCTCGTTCATCCCGACCCCCTTAATTTGGCAACTGGTAGTAGAGGTAATTTTTTTTTAAACTGTTTTGCCGTTCATAAGTGTACTAAGTGTATTTAAGTGATTTTTGATTTTTTGATCTTGTTTAGATGTTAAATGGCGTATATGAGGTATTTCGCCTACCAACAAGTGAACCGCAATGTCTGCCCTCCTCTATCATAAAAAATATAGCTAAGTGTCAACCGTACCTTACAGACGAAAAGGGATGTCTTTTTTTAAAGTACATATTTGAACACTTTAGGGACATTGAACCTTAAAACGCAACAAATAAGGTTGAAATTAAATTGCGCAAGAAATGCTGTAGTTAAGTTTGTGAAAATGATGTGAAACAATAAATGTAGGAGGTGGTATTGTTTGAAAGTTACAAGAACTAGGAAGAAACTGTGTGTAGTGGTTGTCATAATAAAATTACGCACCAAGCTCGATTCATCCAGCACAATTTCACCATTAGGACCCAGTTTAATTTGTGGCGCGGGAGCCGATTCGTTCGTTGTCTCTTTTGTATTCTCTTCTTTTTTCATTTCCACTTTTTGCTGTGCCAATTCCTTTGCGTTTTCTTCTTTAGCCTTTATTTCGTCTTCGTCTGGTCTAAAACAAATTGAACATTAGTTGGTATTTGTAATCAGTTGACTGAAATAAGAATTATATTTCTACTTACATAATGGGGTTTTCCGATGGGTTGTAATAGATGAGATCGTACATAGTCATTTCCTCACGTTTGGCTATTCGACGACGCCGCGAAGCTGCCATTGTTGCACGTCTACTTGACGTGTCGTGCGCACGTCGCGATCTAGTAATATTAATAAGAATATTATACATCGTTCATGTCTATTATATTATACTAGCTGTGCCAGCGACTTCGTCCACGAGAATCGTTATTTTGGCCATCCAAATTAGTTTTTGCAATCACCTTTATCATTATAAACTTAAGTTTGTCACGACATCGGTCGCATCCCTTCCTGTCGTTCTTGTAAGTTAATCTTAAAATATAGACATATAGCGCCGCGGACTCTTTTTAGATCATTTAAAGAGAAATCATTCTGCCATACATATTTTTGGGTGTCAAATCAAATTTTTAAATCCGGTTTCTTTGCTTGTATTAGCGTACGCCTTGGATTTATAACCCATAAGCTTGATGAAAAATGTTTAACCAAATAAAAAGGAACTTACTGAGATTAGCGCGTTCAAACAAATAAACAAACAGCTTGTTCAAACAAATAACTATTCAGTTTTTATATTAGTATAGATTATAAATAAAAAAAAGAGCTCCCCATAAAAGAGTACACTTATTTAATAATCGCAGGGGAATAAAATACACTTAACGGTTTAAAACGCGTTATCCTGTAACAACGGCTTCTAATTAACTTAACTTAATCGCATTATTTTACGAGTCACTGTCCATATAAAAATGCCGTAAAACTGACTTTCGGTTTCTGTTCATTTGTGAATATCCAAACCCAAGATAAGTCAATAGTGCATCATTAGATAGATTGCTAGTGTCCTCCTTTACCACAACGGATAACCCACGAGGTGGGGGGGGGGTCATGGTGTTATGACCCCTCCCCCCTGAGCTGGTTCCAGCCCTTAGGTGAACTACTAAATGAATCTATTGTTATCAAAATTTTATTACAAGTTCTCAACTTGGCCACAACGATGTGACCACCTGCCATAGCTGGTTGTGCCCTTGCCTTATCATAAAAGTTATCTAAATAAAATACATACTTAAGGCTTTTATCTTTGAGGGGAGAAGCTGGTGTCTGCTGTCCGGTGGCTTGACTTACACTTGAACAGACTGAGTCATTTCTAACACGATTCACTTCTCTGAAAGTTAAACACACTTATCACTGTGCGTTAAAAGTTATCTTGAGTGCAATTGCAATAGTTTGAAGTGGAATAATGTCAAGCGTTTTTCGTTTAATAAATAGAGTGGAGCAAACCTCATTCTTAGAACAATATTATTTTATAAGACATCTAAACAAATATTTGACACCTCTGTAACCTAATGGTTAAACGTGTTGTCTAGCATTGCGTTAAGCGCGAGACTTCATGGGTTCGAATCCTAGGCAAATAATAATTTATGAAATCTGATCAATATTGCCTTCCTTAATACTTTAGAAATCTTTAGAGATAATTTCATTAAAAGAAAAAGAAGAAGAATAAATAACTATCAACTATGTCATAGAGCGGACTATGTTGTTAATTTTTTTAATCTGTATAGATCTTTTATTTAATAAGTAAAATAAGTAATTTCTTTTGAAAATGTTTCTCTACCTGTTCAGCATAGTTTGCAGCATACTATGCGAGTGGGAGTCATGCCTCGTCCTAGGTCCTGGAGTGTTGCTACCACTTAAGAGACTCCGACGGCTTTCATCTTCAGATTCACTGGCACTACCCTAAAATAATACCATGTAATACTTTGAAGTAAGATTTTTTATATATCTTCAAAAGTTTTAATGTGGTCAATGTGTGTCAAAATATTTTTTTTAGTTGAGGAAGATATCTATATTAATATTATAAAGCTGAAGAGTTTGTATATTTCTTTGAATGTGCTCATCTCAGGGACTACTGGTATGAATTGAAAAATTGTGTTGGTTGGACCATTTACTGAGAAAGGCTTTTTATAAAACATCAGGTTGCAACAAACAGGATCGCAAAGAAACAGATGGAAATGTGAAAAAATGGGACATTTATTCATGTTTGAGAGTTACAGCGTACTGAGTGCACTGCAGAAACGGTTTAAGATGCCCAAAAAAATAAAAGAATTTTTCTTCGTCAAACCAAACAATCTAAAACAAAAGTATGCGACAGTATATGTCTATCTTTTAAGGTAAACTCACAAGATGTTTTTTGAAAATTAAATATCAAAACTGTATAGCATAAGAATGTTTGCTAAGTCAGCTAGTTAACAAGAAAGTCTGTATTATTTACCTGTATACTATTTCTTCGAGGACCTAACCTTGGCACAGGCCGGAGTTTAGGACGTACTTTGTTTGGAGATGGTAATGGTACAATCGGATCAAAAAGGACCTCAGCATTTTCAGAAATTATATCATTCTTAAGTTTCTCTATTGGTTTTGGAGGGGCTCTGGCCGGTTGTAAAGGAACAATGCCATCCATGGCATTGTTTGAAATATTTTCTGGTATCTTAGAAACATTATACACTGCAAATTAAAAAAAAATAGCTTGTTGGCTACAAACAATATAGGATGTAGAGTACACTGTCCGGTTGGTTAGATAGCACAATATTTATTAACTCGTGAAACTTATTTGTCAAAATTTCTCATTTTAAACAAACATTTAGATTTTAGATAATTATATATTTTAGAAATGTTTTATAGTATAAGCTCTCATAAATGGATTGCAAACTAGCTTGAATTTATTTATATATTTTTTTCTTAAAACAGTATTACATATTTGTCTTCATTGTCTTACATTTTAACATGTTATTTAAGAGAGTAAATTTATGCTCAATAATTAATAAACTTTATTTAAGTATACTATACTTGGAATAGTTTGGAGAAAAAACGATTATAAGAATAATACAAACCTTCTATTCTGCTTTTCTGCTGGACTCTGTTGATAGAAGCACTTCCCATGTGCAATTCAGTATTTTGATTAAACTCATGGTGTTTTGGTGTAGCTTGTCGTATAGGTGTTCGTGTAATATCAATATTTCTCGCAACATTTAAAGGTGATGGTAAATTTGGCGAAGCAAATGTTTTTTTGGGACTACTCCGAATTAATGGAGAAGCAAATACATTTTGTATATTGGGCTTAGGAGTAGGACATCTGTAAACATTTAGTATTGTAGGTGCATTACTAATTTGTGGGGTTACTGTGGGAGTTGGGGGTTTATTTGTTTCTATAGCTAGTTTAAGAGATTCGATTGGTTCTACATTTGTTGGTGTGTCAGTATTATTTGTAACAGCAGAAGTGGTTGCTTTTGGGCTAGGAACTTTCACTTCATTTTCTGGCTTATTATTAATGGCAACTGCATTTTTTCGCCTAGGAGGTAAAGCTGTTACAGCTTTTATTCTTGCTCTTCTCGTAGACATTTTTGTTAATTGTATTCTTTCAATTCAAACAAATTTAAGCGCTCATATTTCTTTTCGTAATGTTAACGTATACATGTTTTTATCAAATCAATAATAAATTGCGGAAACTTCACTTAGAATTCACGTGTATTTGACACAAATCTGACATAACATATGGAAAGCATAATGAGAACAGTCTATAATGTGAAGTATATGCCATGATGTCAACAAATATTTCAAAACGTTTGCGTCCACAGTGACATAAAGAATGTTAAAAATAATGGATTGTTAATTATTACTGACTTTTTATGTATTACCCCCTGCATTGTTTAATTTTGTAGTCAGACTGATTTTTAGACTTTATTAATAAAGAAATATGATCGATTATGAATATACTCGATTTTGTTACAATCTGTTTAATCTGTGGCATATGCGTAGTGTCTGCAATCGAAATTAGACTATGGGCAGTATATTATTCTACTCTGTATACAAATTCCCTATACTGACTGTAGAGCGAAGTATATATTTTTTGTAATTGGTCAGAAAGAAAAAAAATCAAGTATTATGGCTTTTTTACAGAGGTGGGCGATTTTAAATGATCGGCAAAATCGATTTATTTTGTATTACTAATGTTGGTAATCGATTATGGGATTAGTAACTAATTTGTTTTCATAATCGAATGATGTTACTTCCGCTTCCTCGCATCCTTAAAATAACAATTTTCATAAAGTATAGAGTAAACGAATGAAAGAGAATGTCAAGATGGAATTTTTTATTGTTTTTGGCCCCCCCTTTTTCCCCCTTTTTGGGGGCCCCCGTTTTTTGGGGGTTTTGGGCGGGGGGTTTTTTTAAAAACCTCTTCTTTTGGTATCCGAATTTAAAAAATATACCAAATATGATTATACGTCAATAGAATCACTTTACAAAGTAAAAAAGTTTTTATAGAAATTTCAGTTAATCTGCGGCTTTAAACCGTGATTAGAGGAGGCGAATAATGTTAAAATGTTGCATAGTTGCGAGTTAGTGTATCATAGCGTATATTTTTATTTATTATCGTATTACTAATCTAAGAATAAAACAAAATGGTGATTTTCTTCATTCTTTTAATGCATTTTCTCTAATTTTCTTGACAGCGATGAGCACTTTTGGTGAAAATAGATTCCAGAAATTAGTATAATATAATTATAATAATTATACACTAATTAACAGTCCAGATAAAAAAAATCTTTTGATTCGTATAGTTTTCTCTGTTTATAACCAGTAGCTCAACTTCACAATAAAAATAGATCTCTTCTATAAAATTTATATACTTTACAAAAAGCATCAATGTCAGTTAAAACAACAATAAATAAATGCTTCTGGGAACCGAACGTAATGCGATATTACTCTGTAGATAAATTGACCGAACGTCACTCTGCTAAAGTCAATCGTATAAATAAGTATATCTTACGAAGTACAAAGTACCTATCGGTGTTATTCGTCAAAACTGAGAACTAGGCTGCATTCATCTACTAATAAACTACTGCGTATTGGTTCGTCATTCATTATCTATTTGGCTAAAAGGTCAACATTTGCAAAATCATTTTCACAAATTGTCATGACACTATAAGAATAATTAGTCAACGATGAAACGTGCCAGAGATGCGGCGCCGGCGGCGGTCGGCTCAACGGCTACTCTAGTCTAACCGAAAGTATCGTGGCTGACACTATTGCTATCAAAATTTCGATTAAGCAGTTGCAAAAATATCTAAGAGCTTACTGTCGAAATATTAACTAATGAAGGCAGAATCAAAGTCTTAGAAAGAAGTAAAAAGCATTATCCATGCAATTGAGCTATGTCTTACGCTACGGTGTCGAGTATCGCCGAGCCGGCGTCAGGCGTGTTGTACCAGAGCCCCCTTACTCCGAATCTATCCACAGTTCACTCAACTCCAGTTGGACCATTCAGCATAAAAGGGCTCACTGATAGAACACTGTCAGCACGCTTGCAGCCCAGCTGCGCTATCACAACATAATTCGTCCGAATTTGTTACCGCTCGGGCCTACTTAATCCTACGAAATGATCACTATCGTTAATAAATTAATTACCTACAATTAAAATAAGGTACCAAGTGTAGTGTGCATCGCAACGCCGTACCGCGCTTCGGTTTAATTGACTGGACGTCTATCGAGCGTCCGTTTATCACTTCTATAAAACAATAACGCTAAAGGCTCCTCGTACTTACAATATTTACATAAAGAAACGATCGAGCGCTACTGATCCGACTCTACTTAGGAAACTGAGATAATATGCCTGATGGCAAATCTACGTGTTGAAATAAAGGAAGCGACGGTGTGCTACAGAATTGTGAGAAAAGTTGTGCGTCGCTTGTGCGCGCGCGCATATCACCAAGACAATTTCTAACGCACCTACGAAAGATTAAATACAATGTACTAAAGAGTATTAGTATTTAACATGTAGTAAAAGAAAAGACAACAATTTCAGGAATTTTCAGGAAAAATAGGATCATATTTGAGAAGGTTAAGTGCGAGAAATTGCTTGGTATTAAGTTCTGGCGCACACATGTTGCGTGGTGCATGGTTCGGCTTTCTCTTATTATTTTACAAGCTCAATAGAAGGTTCTGAAACAATGTTATTCTGGAATTTGAAATTAGGCTTCAATTCCAATTTACGAAAATATAATTTAAGAGTATATAACTAAATTCTAACTTTACGTTACATGTCAAATCGAAATTGTACTAAAAAATAAAAATACTGAGATATGTAACAGATTGCGAACTCGTGCAACCACGCAACTCTAACTATCCGCAACGTTTAATAATAAATATTAACAACTTTCGTATAATAATAATCTCCATTTCCGCCCCTACCAGGAACGACCAATCACAAACGATCGAACGCACATTCCTCAACCATCAACAATGGTTTACGCCAACAAAGCATAAAATAGTGATATCTTTACATTTCAGTCTAGTCTATATAATTTTCTCTTTAGTGGCAAGGTATCTCTATAAGACTCGATAGTTTTAATATATAACAGTATCTATACAATCGGAATACGTCGCGTATTCGCCGCAGCGTCAATGATATAAAATTTAACCTAAATAACACAGGAGAATTAAGTATAAGATCACAAAATGAGATTCAGCGGGCGTTCGCCCGGCGAAGTCGCTTCTAATTCTCGTCTACGCTACACCTCGCTCTAAGCCTAGTATTGCTATCGGTCGGCCGCGGGGCCTAAGACAGGGTGCGGCGTCAGGGGGCTATGCCGGCGTCCGACTTGTGAAATGCGGCGCCGGCCGTAGACAGCGGCGGCTGTTGCGCTTGGGCAGAACTAAAATCGTGCTCGGACTTCGGTCGCGGCAGCGCGGCTGCGACACCCAAACCCGGCAGCGCGACTCCTGCCATCCGACACGATGCTGCCTGAAGCGGTTGCAGCGCAAGACCAAGCGATCGCTCCGATAACCTCGCTACGCTATCATCTGATAGACTGACGTGCTCCGCTTCAGCCGCCAGCGCGTTCACGACTGCATTGATTGTGTTGCCCTCCGATGTGGTGTCGTCCTCTCTGTGCGCGACGAGGTTCGGGTTCTTGCCGATCTTGTTCAATCTCTCCGCTGCCACGCTCTCCATGGTGCGTCGCATCAAGGGGTATTGGTCTAGCACTGCGTTAAAGTGGTCCACAGATAATGAAAATAGGTTGCAATAAGTCTCAGCGCGGACGGAGGCGACTCTTCGTGCGTTTGTGAGTAGACAGATCTCGCCGAAGTAGGACCCGTCAGAGAGACTGGTCGCCACTTCACCGTTGGCCATAACGATGTCTACTATCCCCTCTTGTATAAAATACATCTTATTCCCGATGGTTCCTTCTTTTATGATAATATCACCTGAAACGAAGAGACATTATATCAAATTGGCTGTCCAAAAATTGTTATTGTAGACTTTTAAAATTAGCAAAAATGGTAAATATATATTCAAATAATAACAGACTAAAATACTGTCTGTAGTTTACACGAGTTGTACACATTTAAAAAATGCGATGTATATAGTTAAACTTATTTGGAAATTATTTTAACTAAGGACTGATGTTTCGGATGCTTTGCAGCAGCCGTGGTCACGGTGAGACTAAAGATGAAGGGTGTGACTGATGTCAAAGTAAAAACTGTTACGCTAGCGCCACCTGTTCCGTCGTAGTTGGTAATTAACGACTAACTCTATGTATACATCACGTTTGAAAGAGTTAATATGTTTTCTTTAAATAACAGTTTTTATCCTGTTTCTAATAATGATACCACTGAATATGTCTATAAACTATATTTTATCACTCAAAATGATAAAACCGCTAACTAATCTTCAAAATGGAAGGAACAAATTAAATACGTATAGAAGTTAAGAATAAGAACGGGTAACGTAGTTTTATGTGCGAACTAACCAGGCTGGAAGACTTCATAACGCAACTTTGTGACGACATCCGAAACGAAGTTCGAATCAGCATTTGCAAAGAAAGGCACCGATGCGACGAGCGAGCGACAGTTATAATTAATGACGTCCTCTCGAAGTTTCTCACTAAGCTCGCCAAGAATAAGCTCCTCATCAAAGAACTTCCCTTGGTACCGATGCTCGAAATACTCTGTTATGCGCTGGCGCATCTCGCGAGGCAACTTCCGGTACGCCATGTACTCTTCGACTTGTTTCACCTGGAATTAAATGATTGGGGCTTATTAGCTGGTCAGAAACATTACAAAACCCACAAGTTACACACAGAGATTGTTCAAACAGTTCTTATGTATATTTAGGTGCGAAGAGAAATGAATATGTTTTTCTGTTTATTCGGTGTAGATAGGAACCCATTGTGTTCGATAAACCAAAATCCTCCCAGAGGGAGCGGAGAAATGGGTGAAAATGCAAACATAGTCTGTGGACTGATCACCCGGCCATTGATCAGTGTATAAATTAAAATAATAATATAATAAAACATAGAATTCATCTAATCTATTTTTATTATACATAATTATTCAACGTGCATCATTGTTTATAGGAATATGTACCGAGTAAGTAATTATTACGACAAATTAAATTGACAATATTGTGTACATTACTGGGTTCTATATTATTTAATTTATTTTTTACATGACATATTTAGTAAAATGTATTTATTCTATGTAAAATCTGAAGATGTACAAAAATACAAGTGAAGTTTATGTGGCATAGATAAATGTAATCTGTATTATTATTGGTTGTCTACATTGTTGCTCTTTGAAGTTTGTCCTTAGTTTAAAGGTAAACAAAAAAAAAATTGTCGCCAAATAAATAAAAACAATAACCATTCTATGAATAGTGATTACTAGCTAAGTGATTATAAGTGAGAGAAGTTTAAAAGTAAAATTTATACAATAAATGGGGTTTAGAATTGCAAGTCCTAAATGCATGGAGTTGTTAATAAAAACATGTGTTGACTAAAATAAAGTGGTATGAAAACTGTTATGAACACTTTTGAATTTAAAATACCTGTTACGAGTAAAAGGGATTAAGTAAGACTAGATGAATATATTGTATTATTAGCTAAAGTCGAACACATTTGTACAAGTGTTTTGGAAAATAAAGACCTATCGTTGAATGTTGAAAATTAGACACCAGCGTTTCTATAAAAGTTAATATAGTTAAATAATAATTTTAATGTTAAACTCCGTAATTAAATTAATAAGATTGTTTTATTTATATTATCGACTGCACGATTTTGTGCTATTATATTGTATATAATAAACTTCTCCATTCCTTTTTCATTCAAACTACCACAGTTATTTTTAAGCACTTAAATGTTATAGGAGTAGAATTATAGAAGACTACAATACTTTGTTCTGTTACTTATTGTTTACAACAACATCCATCGTGGTTAGTGTGAGTTGAGTACTAAGTGCAGGAAAAAAACACTTTTAAGTGACTTTGCAACAACAGTAACCCACTAACGAACATTCACTTTGTACTCACGTCTAGTTTCTGAAAAGGTAATTATGATATGTTATTAGTATCGTACTAATATTGGTCTCTTTTATTGGAAAGTGCTTTTTACGACATCAATTTTAAAACGTGTTCATAACAGCTTTATTGGCAGTACTGTGCTTCTCTATCTTTTTCTACGCCTATATTACTTCTACCTATTTTATTTTCTGTTTTCTTATTACGATATGGATTTATTTATCTTAAATAGATACTTATAAATGCCAGTGTAACGTATCTTCGTGATTATATTGTAAAATTTACTTCAAAATTATGTTGAAATAACGTAATAAAAACAGTTGAAAATTTACCTTTTCACGATATTGCCTACGGGACGAGTCAAGACTCTGTATCAAGTTGGTGGCATGACCTAAGAATAGGGCATAGCATGTAGCACCAGAGATCATCGAAAGCATCGTCAGCCACATATCCGTTAGGGACTGGGGGGGGAAGCGGCCGTACCCGATGCACAGCATATGGGACATTGCCTTGAACAACGCCCAAGAGTACTGCTCAAGCCAAAAGGCTTCCTGGAAATTTTTAACGGAGATATCAATAAACGGACGGTTCGATCCCCACCGGGTCCAACATTTTCATAAAAACATTCAATCGTTTTGCACTTTTTCTGGAAATCTGGATATTAAGTGGGTGGTAGGATTCTGAAAATGGCGTCTAAGTCACGAACCACCGTCCGATGAAACAGCCGATAAAAATTAATAGCATTTCGGTTCCAGTCTGTGGATTTCCGAATATCCAAAGCCAAAATACGTTGACAGTGCATCTTGTTTAGATCTTATTGGCTTATTATTTCACCTACCATCAAGTAAACTCCATGCATGTCCTTATTTCGGTTTAATGAAATTTTCTTTTCATTTGACATGCTTGGAACAGATCCCATAAGGAATGTTATAGTATTAAAATCTTATTCCTGTGTAAATAAATGATTCAACGTGAACTGCTTTTTAGATCCTACTTAACTTAAGTATACGCACCTGTAATTCGTTTATCGCCACCCAGGAGTTGGGCGGAAACCCTTGCAGCATGGGCACAAGGAATTGGAGGCAGCCAGACCAGTGGCCGATTAATAACATCATGCAGATCAGGTTGAATATCCGCATGAATACCGACGCCATGTTGAGGAACTGCGGGCAGAGAGCACGATTATCATCGGGCAAAACTGATCGTTGCCTCTAAAGGAAGCCGTGCGGACTGCGCGCGACAAGGACGCTCGAGGTCAAGCATCGCGATGATCAGCTACCGATGAGTTCGTACACAGTGAGAAAAAGAATGAACGCGTGAGGCGATTTTTCGAACGAGCATGCTACTCGGCGGAGCGGGCAGGTCGCGGGACCGGAGCCGCCGCGCGGCCTCGCGACCTGCCCGCCGCCCGGACGCGCCTCCGCCCGCGGGCCGCCGGACGAGGGAGAAACGCCAACGAAAGAGAGGAAGCCAAGCGAACGCAGCGGCGTAAGAGGCCGGACGCACCGGCAGCATGCTAAGCGGGCGAACGAGCACATGCGCGCCGGCTCGCGCCGACCCTGTTACCTTAAATATCAGATTGCTTTTCGTGTCACCCTTCTTTTTGGCAACGTCGGAGCTGAGCCGTCCCCTCCGTTCCGTGCGCTTTTTTTGTAGATTCTGCAAGATCTAGAAAAGAAGCGAGAAACACGAGATAGTAGGAAGAGAGGCAGGCGCCCGGGTGAGCGCGGTCGGTCGGGTGCGGGGCGGAGGGGCGCGTGCGGGGCGCAGGCAACAACACCGAGACGGGACGGGCTAGACCCCTACGGCAGCTAACTAGGACGCGACACGGCTGCATGCTGCACCTGCGAGGCGAGGTCGCGCGGGGCGTCCGGGGCGCCGGGCTCGTCGCTCGGTTGCGGGCCGGGGCTCATCTGCACACAACACCGTCACTGCGACGTCACCAGTCAACACCACTACCCTCCCCGTCCTCCACTTCTCACTGTCTCTCCGCATTCACTAAACCTCCGGACCGTGCGCGTGCTAGCTAACCTAGGATACTCTAATGGGTGCGCCGTGCGAGTTTCTTTAGTGTGATACGCTGTTTTCTATCCGGATGTAAACAATTTTAACTTAAATAATTAAGATTTGGGGACTAGGTGTATATTTTTTCGTTTTAAAGGTTTTGATTTGAAAGTAAATGAAAAGCACGAGGATATGATAAATCAGTTGTTGAATTCGCTTTAGCTGCAGCTGTATGCTTCGGCTTTAAAAGGCAGCAAAATAAGGAGTATTTCGGCAAATTATATTATGTATTATTATTTTTAGTCGATGAGTGTGGGACGGTTCGGGGTAGCGGTTGGGACGAGAGACGCGGCGCGGCGCGGGCGGTAGTTCTCGAGTCGGTACGCTTGAGAGCCGAGAGCGTGCGTAGGCAGAAGAAGCTTGCAGAAAGGCAGTAGAGAAGTGCAGAGCGGGACGTGGGGCTCATACAGTGGGGTGGGACAATGGTATAATACAGGATTACAACACATTTCCAATTAGACGTTATTAGGATCACTACATCTAGAACGGTTTTAAATAAATATTTATTAAAATTACAAAAGATTAGTTGGAAAACATTATATACAAAATGAAGAGCCAATATCAGTCAACAATCTCCAAACGCAGTCACTCAATCCAATATTACATATAAGTTGGTGTTAATTCCATGTTAGTTGATGTGAGCGTAATGTGTTAGAGCCGTGTTAGTGGGGAATAATTAACGAGTAAAGTGTAGACTAGAAGATTTGATGTCTTACATAGACTTCCTCCCATTGTGATACGTATCGGACGAGTCTTGATAACCGAAGAAGTCGCACCAGAGATAGAAGCTTCGCTAACCGGAGTATCCTTAGTGCACGACCGGCGTGAAGAATTTGAAAGCTCTCACTAAAATCCTGTGGACACAATCCAAACCATGTCACGGGGGGGCAAACATAATGCGGTGCTCCGTTATAGCTTAGAGGCAGAGCACCTAGAGTCCCTAATTATATAGAGTGTAAAGTCATGCATTTAGATTACATGAATCATCAGGCCAAAGAAAAGTGCCAAGCATAACTGTACATTAAAATTGCTAACGTTACCCGATTGAAAAATTGAATTCAATTAGTAAGCTTAGTAGATATATGAGAAAAGATAAAGACAAAATTAGTACATAGTCTCGTATTAAGCTCAATTATAAAAACGATCAAGATATTTCGCAAAGATTTCTTTGTCTATGTGTTATTAAAAGTACATAAAAATATTACAATTTGGTCGTGTTGCATAGTACAATAGAAAAATAAAAAATGTGAAATACGAAGTGATAATACGATAAAATTGATTCATGCTGATCACGGAAGAAAGTATGAATGAGTTCCTAATGTAGAAGGCAATAAAATAACTTTAGAAAGAAAAGCATAAGTAATGCAAATGCCGCTACAGTGCAATATTGGAAGGTTCCAAGAGAAAGGTGCACAAAGAGTAAATGTGCGATAAAGATAGAAAATCGAGTCGAAATAACCTACAGACAGAGCTTGAAAGCGAAGAAGATTTGCCTCGTGGTTAAAAGAAAATTCGTGCTAATAGATCGCTGGAGTATTTTAAAGTAAATAGTTATTTCGAAGGAGATCTAACTCGGTGCAACCAAACCTTTCTAGGTTCCAAGGAAACCTTTACAAGTATGAGTATATAAACCAAACACGACGCGTTGCACGTTCTCGTGGCAGTTGCGTATTGACAATGAGAAATAAACGAGTACAAAAAAAAAACAAAATACATTTGCTAAAAAATAAATTACACCCAAGCTGAAACAGAATATCAACATAAAAGACAGTTTAACACTATAGTAATAAGAACACGGCCAAATTGCAACGTACGTTTACCTGATTGAAGATCAAGAAAATATAATCTAGTGGTATACTAGAGATGAGGTCCAGGAAGAACCACGTCCTCAAATAGTGCTTCGCTATTAACTTGGGATCTAATATCACTTGCTCTGCATTGTCTTGCTGCATTATTCCTGAAAATAGTTTTACAACCTTTATAGTTTTATTTTTGTGGTAAAATTTCAGGATTCACTTCGAAAGAGACTTTTATGTTAGATTTTAGTAGTTTGATTCTCGTTACTTTTGTACAAGTATTGTGTTATATTTATTACTATATATTTTGTGTACATATCTTACTTTCTGTCAGTCCTGTTGTTAATACTGGCTTGGCGATTATGTTTACAATATTTATCGATATAGAAGTATAGTATTTTTGTATTTTTTTTATTCTTTGTTGGTAATGGTTGTATGTAGTGTGTTTTTTTAGAATAGAGTTTTAATAAATTACTATCTCAATGTAGTTAATAGTCTTTACATAAACCGTCCCAACATCAAATATTATCTGTAGTCTAGTCTTTATTTCAATTTGATAATCGTCTATAATTGGCTGTTCGACAATTATCTAAAAAATATTCATAGTGAGGTGTAATACGTAAGTATATTTTTTACGTCTTATATGTATACTCGTTTTATAGATAATGTAAATTAAAAACAAAACCTTTTCGCAGCAGCAAAAATTTTATATGATTTGTATAAACTAATGACCTTCAACGGTTCTAATTATTTTAACTACGGCCCGACGTTTTGGATGCTTCGCAACAGCCGTGGTCACGGGGATACACTGTCAACACAAATTTACGTATTTACGTGTCTTATTTAAATCTGCACTATCCCTTAACTGGGTTGATATAATCTAGATCTACCAAATTCACATTTAAAATTTTATTTATTGATGTAAAGAGTCTCAACATTTATTTCTAATACATACAATAACGACACTAATCTAGAAAATACAAAATGGCGTAAACGCATAAAGGAGCCTTCTAGACTCTGTTTCTATATTTCAGATTATATATTCTATTTCTCAAGTGGTTTTGTATGTGAAATTCAAATCATCTGCTTTATTATTTAGTACATAATGGACGGCTTTTGAAGTCGAGCTCCCCGGTTTATCTCAAGAACCATTTTAGTTATTAATAATATTATCTTGACCGGCTTCTTGCAAGAAACTGTGCCACGTCCAATCATAATTCAGAACTTGGCTTGAACATACAGCTGGAGTGCTTTTTTATATATCGTATATATGCACTGTCTGTAGTTTACGCGACTAGGACACACTTAAATAACGGTTTAAAACGCGAATTATTTTAGTTCACTTAATTATAAAATATTACAGACGTTTCAGATACTTTGCAGCCAAATAGCCTATAACGAAACAGATGGCGCTAGCGTAGCAGTTTTGCCTTTGAATTTCGAGATGCCCGCCCATCTTAAGTTCCCTTATGACCACGGCCGTTACAAAGCATCCGAAACGTCGTAATTTAAAATATTTTTTTAAATAAGTATAACTTCATTTCGCGTTTTTAATCATTAAAAATGTTTCATTGAAATATTGTGTCGACTGAAAACGTAACGTGATTAAACTTCACAGATTTTTTATCTGTGGTTTGTGACCCGAATGGAATTTCGATATTGCTACTCATTTAATGTCCATATTTCCATATGACATAATAGAATTATGAATATTTATTTAATATTATGAAGAAGTTACCTGTTCTAAAATTAACAACGATATCTATAAGGAATATAGTGTCCGATAAACAGTTGAAAGCAATCCACCGCGTGCTGAGGTCGTCGTTGAAGAAAGAAATGGCAACAGGTAGAATGATCAGGTTGGCCACGAGCAACAGCAACATGCAGAGGTCCCAGTAAAATCTGGAAAGAGGAAAGTCCACATTAAATGTATGTAATATCATTTAGTAGATAACTAAAATTAACATAGACAAGTTGTTACCCACGACGTCGTTAGCGTTTTATGGTTCTTGCCAGGCAAAAAATAGACGCATAGACACAGATCATTGCAAGATTTCTGATGTTCAAACAAACAAACAAACTCTTCAGGTTTATATATTAGTATAGATTCATTATATTATAGTTATAAGTGTATTTAAATAATCGATTTAGTTGAAGACAAAACAATAAAGAATTTTAACGGTTTTGAAGGCGGAATATATTACATAGTACATTTATTTTTATAACCACCTTGGAAGCTTTACAGCAGACCACGCCTGCTGTCAATCAATATATAAAACACGAATAGACATCACGAATTGAATATAAAGATACGATACCATAATGTTCTGCTACGTAATGCGTTACGGCAGCAGCCAGGCCTGCCTAGTTAGGTTAAATTATATAAGTTTATTTAATAAAAATACTCAATGTTAATCCAAAGCTTTGGTACAGAACAAGCAGTTTATTGTGCGCAATTATGAATTTTTCACCTGACCGACCCCCAGAAAATCTAGCTTACAACTCTGTTTGTTAATGTGAAAAATTTATAAATACACATCAGCTTTGATCTCAAGATTTACAGACGCAGTGAGTGCTAACTATCCGTCAATGTTGCCACTTTATGAATCGATGTAACAAAAGCGTAAATGTCAGGAAAAGGTTACTAAAAGGTAAAAATAGTACCTCAACACTGTTGTATGTGTGGCAGGTGTATGTGAATGCACGATAATGTATAAAATAGATCGGAACACGACGGAAATCGAACTTGCGACTAGTGTGGTCTACCTTCAAAGCCTTTAAGTAAGGATAATCATTATAAAGTTTTTAAAACTTTAATAATTTTTCATATTTTAAATCAAAAGGATCTCTCGCGCAAGACATTTAGCTATTGAGCTAAATGTATTGTGCGAGATATCCTGGGTTTAAATCTCGAGGAAAATATATTACGCGAGAGTTGCATGTAACAATGGGTTGAATAATTGGACGACGTCAATTATTTTTAATTATTTAGTTTTTTAATTTATTTGTTCCGGTTGAGCAGACGAGCACCGAAATATGTCTGCCCCGTAACAGGAGATACGAGATCACACTGCTTTCCAAAATTATAGTTGTACATCAAATATTGTTTGTATTATACGCGAGTAGTACACATTTAAATAGAACACTTTAACGGTTTAAAACGCGATATATATTATAATAGTTAAACTTATTTATAATTATTTTAACTACGGCCCGACGTTTCGGTCGCTTTGCAGCAGCCGTCGTCACGGGGAGACGGGCCGTAGTTAAAAAAAATCAAATAAGTTTAATTTGATTTTTTGTTATATGTTAAATTTTGTATATATTAAATATAAAAAGAAAAACTTAATGAATATGAGAACCGCGAATATTTAATAATGACGTGCTTTGTATTTACAAAATTGAAGCGAATTATTTTAAATTGTTTAATCAGCGCAACGTAATGTAATTAAAAATCTACAGTCAGACTGAAAAGTGCTGCTGAATTAAGGGAACTCTTAACAGCGTTAAAACTGAAACTTTTAAAGAGAACATTTAACTGGTCTTGGTTAACTTTAAATAGTACTTCAGTTAACGATATAAATACGTTTTAAACAATGTTATATGTTATTTATTTATTTATAAAGATTTTGATAAAATATAATCTATATTTTTATACAAAATAAAAAAGTATTCAACACAGCTTTGACTAACAAGCATAGCATTACTTACATCACAATTCAGTATAAATAAAAACTATATACATATGAAAATAAATAATCAATGAAAAATTAAAATTCAGTTTCCATAAGTATATAGTATAGCAAATATTTAGCAATATTTGCGAACATATAAATAACTAGTAATTCACTACTCGTAGTTTACACGAGTAGTACACATTTAAATAAAATACCTACTATTAATGGTTTAAAACACGAAATAGTTAGGTAACGTATTTATTTTAACTACGACCCGACGATTCGGGTGCTTTGCAGCGTGCTTCTCTCGGAAAAAGCCCTCCGTGAAATAAACATTTGATTGTAACTAAGTTATCAAATATATTTCTTGTTATAAACCGTTAATATTATGTAAGCAGGTACCACCAAAGTGGTCCTCCAAATGTACAAAGCATTCTTGAAGTATAAATCACAATCGTTATAACCTTAAATCAGACTTAACTACGCCTCTACGTAGCGCTAAGCTTGTGTCAACAACATTAGGTAATTTACTGCATCGGGCTGTGTTGCATTTTGTATGCAGCAAGAAAACCGGGCGAATTATCGAAAAGCTAGCTAAGCTTATCACAACTGGGGATTTAGCCAAGTAAGAATAAAAAAAGAAAAAGAAATTTGAAGAGATTTCTCTGGGTAATTAAAATACATACATATATATCGTTTACGGCAAGCTTTGTGCGTAGAGCGAAGGTATTTTATAACATATTTATGTTCCTGTAATAACACCTCCTGTAAAATTCAAACTGACAAACACATTCGCGTTTATAAACAAGCCAATGATATTTTTGTAAAGAACCTAGTTCAATCCTCCCGTGACCACACCTAACTAGCATTGGAAACGTAAAAGTGCTACTTAAAATAATAGTAAATACTAAATAGTAAATAATTATTTTACAAATTACTCTCAAGTCCTTAAAAATTGTTGTTTAATAATTATTATAATTATAATAGTAATTATTTTATAATGAGTTAATTATTCTACACCTGATGCTGAAATATATAAAAACCAATATGTCTCTCTACTAAGTACGTTATTCACGTATACAGTAATAAATAACAATGGAATATAAGGATATTTGCACTAAAGTTTATTATATACGTTAAATTACCCGTGACTAGTTTGTGACGAGATATAAATAAAAAATTATAGGACAAATTTTGAATCAAAGATTATTATTGGATTTGAAGCTTGCGTTGTCAAAATTATTGTATTTAATTTAATTGACATTTTAATAATAACGCCTCATAAAAACGCCCCAACGATAAGAATATAACACCTTTTGACTAACACATTTAACTTTATTGTAAACGCCATCTGATATAAATATCTACATGGCGCTACAGTCCCTTGGGCCCTGGCCTGGTCATAGACCCTGAAACCGTACTATCTTGGACTAAGTGTCTCCACAATCTGGCCTAATTTAATGGAGAACGACTGGCCTTTCTAGTCCGACTGGAGAAAGGTAAGTATTACATAGTATTACTATCTCTATTGTACCGGCTATTAAAATATGTTTATCAATAACGAAGTGTCCTAGATTTCTGTGACACCGAAGAACAGATAACATTTCTTATTCCGAGAATGAAGAGTGATTCATTTTCTTTAAAAGTTTCGACAAAGAATACGTTAGCGATAAGTGACGCACGATTAGACTGGTAATCCTATTTGGTAAATCTTAAAACTATGCGAGGAGTGAATGAACAGAGTAAAAACTGTATTATCATCAAATTAAATTTATTCTTACAAAGATTACCTTTGACAGAGAACCGCTATTTTATGAGAAATGTCACAAACCAGAAGGCGCCATTTTATACAAATACAGACTATACAGCACTATTTATAAGGACATAACATACATTTAACCTAAACAGGCTGAATAGTAAAATGCCGTTTCCCTGTGGGGCATGGGGCGAACCCGTTTCTTTGATCGATTCTTTTACAGGAAAGTAGCTGATAAGACTTCCATGAACTGAATAGTAAGTAGGTAAAAATTGAATAAAATATTATATTTTCACTACGACAAAAAAATTAACGTATAGACTGTAATTTTTTTTTTATAGAGGATACACATTAGAGGGGGAAGCAAGGCCTCAATCTAACCTACATTTAATTACATTGGACGTTAAATATTGTCTTTAATTACCGCGGGTGATTTCAATAATACGCTTTTAACGGTTTAAAACGAGAAATAAAACATTTCGCGTTTTTCATTATTACAAGTATTTAATTTAATGTGTACCACTCGCTTAAACCACAGATTCAAAATCATTTGTACCTATTAAGTTTGAATATTGCATTTAATAACAAACATCAGTAATTAGTGATGCTTCAAAGCAGACGCACAGAGATATTATGCAATATATAATATATTATCACGCCGAATGAAATATTGATTAGATATTTGCACACGATAATCCCTAATCAATCTCGTTCAACCGTTACTTGTTTACAATACAGATTATTATACCATCATTAATTTAATTGGTCGTTAGATGTGTACTTAACTATTCAAACATATGGGGTCTATACGACTACTGTTTAATTACTTAAGTCCAGTTAAAGTTGTTTTTGTAGAATGAGTTCTGAAATTATAATGATCGTCTATTCTAAAGTAGATCTCGATGACAGGACTTCATGTAGGCAAAATGTGTGTCAATGCCACGTCATTGCACATTTTTTTTGGCGTAGAACAGGTCGAATCAAGTGAACCGCCTGTCCTCGTCTACCATTAAAAAAATTTAAAGCAAAACGTGGAAAACTTAACCGCTTTTCGGTCTGTGGACGAAATTTCGTTATTGCTACCACTGTCCAGATATCCAGACCATGTTATATATGTTTGGAAAAATTATAGCTATAAGTTAAACCTTTTACCACGGCGGCATTAACTATTATTTTCAAATTTGCAACCCTTCCAGCATATTAAACAAACTACGTGCATTTAGCGGTGACATGTCGGTAATAGCAAGATTCAACGTGATCGTTGAATCAACGTTTATACTGTTCCGCTTAGTGAACTCCTTTGTGTTTTCAATCGACCATTATTGTTACAGATTAATATCTACAAAGTGTCGACTCTTGGTTTGCTTGGGATTACATTTTTATTTACTCTGTGGTTTAATGTTAGAACGGTTGGCGTTGCGTTAAGAAGTCTGTATGTTTCTTTTTACCTCCAATGTAGCTACAATATG